TGTCTGTTTGGATTGTCTCATTGTTACTCTATATCACTGGCTGTATGGATTGTCTCATTGTTACTCTATATCACTGGCTGTTTGGATTGTCTCATTGTCCCTCTATATCACTGTCTGTTTTGATTGTATCATTGTTACTCTATATCACTGGCTGTTTGGATTGTCTCATTGTAACTCTATATCACTGTCTGTTTGGATTGTCTCATTGTTACTCTATATCACTGGATGTTTGGATTGTCTCATTGTTACTCTATATCACAGGCTGTATGGATTGTCTCATTGTTACTCTATATCACAGGCCGTTTTGATTGTCTCATTGATCCTCTATATCACAGGCTGTATGGATTGTCTCATTGTTACTCTATATCACTGGCTGTATGGATTGTCTCATTGTTACTCTATATCACTGGCTGTTTGGATTGTCTCATTGTCCCTCCATATCACTGGCTGTTTGTACCAAGATAGCAGGGATGTTGTCCGTAATATCCACCACTTGTGTGTCTGGCCCAAGCTTCATCACACAGCTATGGCACAAGATTTCCAAACACTTCAGTATATATTTGTACACTGGGTGCTACATATGCTTATCCATATTGAAACTGTGTGTATGTCTTAACAAAATTAGAGGAAAGGATTTATTATTTTTAAAGATTTGACAATACTATAACTTCAGTTCAGTACCTATGTGGACAGTTGCTTGTGTGAAGTTCTCATTTTGGCATGTACGTCACAGGAATCAATACATGTTGTCAAATGTCGATACAAAATCTCGTTAGACAAGACATTTAAAAAATTGAGTTTCCATGATTTATTTATGGAGTGATTTGTATACGTCATCCAGGCTGCAGTGAAGGGCATGAGACTGTTTGATTGTTTTGATGACGTGATTCACCATGACACTGAGTGGATAGGGAAGCATAGCTATATATCTAGCAGCGCTGCAGTCAGTAATGTGAACCTAGTGTATCCAGTTCAGCACATATTTCAGTAACATCTTGACAGTTTTATTGAAGTGTATGATCACAGAAATGCTTTGAACTTGAATATGTAGGGCATTATTAAATTATGGATGTTTGCAAAGATCATATATTTCGGAAAAAAATAAGGTATTACTTAAATTGAATAGAAAATCAGTAGTTTGAATATTAGACAGTAATGTAACATCACAGAGTGAAAGATATAACATGCATGACTCCCATGGACCCAGACAGCGGCCTGACATTGTGTGGGCATGCTCTGGTCCTCATGGTAACCTTGGGATCCAGAGCCGGGCCTCATACAGAGCTGCAGGTTGTGCAGGATATGGGGTGCTACAGGATGTGTGCAAACACAATGACCAAGGTCACCCCACAGAGGTCCGGACTTTTAGCTGAACAAGGCAGTACCTGGACATTTCCTTTCCTCCAACAAAGACATTGACACACAAGGTGTTTGTTGGAATTCAAATTGATGACTAATCCTATATGCAAATGGTTCCACAACTGGCCTCAAAAACCTCATCAGGATAACAAAGTCCTGTGAGTCGACCATCGAGGTGGATGAGATCTGTCCTATGGCTGTGGGTGATGCCAGCCCACACACTCACTTAGCAAACACCTTATTAGTTTTGCTGGGCTATGCAACATGCTGGTAGTGCTCCAGACATCATGAGTACATAGCAGCAGAAATACCATGTCAACAAATCTGTACTGAAGTTCGCAAATTAATCATGTAATTACACTGTTTGGTTATATGAGTTCACTGTATATCTGGACGTATGTTTGTAATATATTTTATTATTTTTGTTCAAATTTTCATTCAATATTGTTTACATTCATTTCATCGGTAGATCGCACAACACACCATTGTTTACAGCAACCAGTCAGATTACCGCTGTTGACTCCTTGAAACGAGCTTGGAAAGTGAATGGATAGAGAATTGATATATATATATATATGAAATATGCCATACACTGACTCGTTGAAAGTCATATTTGTTGTTGTTTGATTATTATATGTCAAAATAAAGTTTTCGCTATTGCAAGTGTGGGAGCATCGAGGGTGATTGGTCAAATTGTTCCATATGAAAAAACATCCGGCAATAACGATCAGCTGTACCAAAGTGCTATGCTTATGGTTATTAATTTATTTCAAATATATATGGTAAAGCTGCAACTAAATTAACGTCATATTGGTTTAAATTATTCCTGATGAAATGATTGTTTCAGATACAATTCTTCGGATCATTGAATTAAAATTCTTTAAAGTTATATTATTGGGTAATTTTGAACCAAATCACTAGTAGATTAGAGCATGTAAGTAAGCAATGGGGATCATTTTTGTGTTGGCTACATGTGTATAAGAAATACAGGACATATATGTTAAGAATAGAGGGAAAACATTGATGTGAGTAATGCAAGGAATGAAAAGCCTACAGTGGCCAAGTTTCCTACTGGGAGAAAATGGTTTAGAATAAGCACTGGTACTGGCCAGGGAAACTGAGCGATACGTCTTGTGTGTGTGTGTGCTACAGCTGAAGGGAAGATGGTGTGAAACCTGCAGGGAGAGTGTGTTTGTACAGCACAATAATGAACATAGCTAGGTAGTGGAGACACAGGTATACACATTGCACTACTAGCTACTCTCAAGGTCAGCCTCTTTAAGGTAAAGTAGGCAAACATTGTCTACACATGGCAGTATGGGTGCTGCAGACAATCAGGCCATGGCTTCCTTCTTGGTTTTGTGAAGATAAGTCACCCCCCAGCATCTGTATCCCAGTCACTTTACCATCGCTAATAGTAAAACTTGACTGACCAGCGTGGGGACTGAAACCCGATCAGTGGCTAGACCCCACTTGGATGCATTCCTGTGAGGCAGGATGATGGAAGTTGTCGGTGAAACCCGGTCAGTGGCTAGACCCCACTTGGATGGATTCCTGTGAGGCAGGATGATGGAAGTTGTCGGTGAAACCCGGTCAGTGGCTAGACCCTACACTTGGATGGATTCCTGTGAGGCAGGATGATGGAAGTTGTCGGTGAAACCCGGTCAGTGGCTAGACCCTACACTTGGATGGATTCCTGTGAGGCAGGATGATGGAAGTTGTCGGTGAAACCCGGTCAGTGGCTAGACCCTACTTGGATGCATTCCTGTGAGGCGCGCAGGATGATGGAAGTTGCCACTGAGGTGACTCACATACCACTGCTGTCATACAAGAGGAGATGCAGCTCTGTGTGGTTGTGTCATCCAGAGGAGGAATAACCATATGTACACACTAATCAACTACTGGTATCTTGAATGGATGGGGGGCAAGGGAGAACTTGACACCTGCACTGACTTTTTTGAGATGATGAACTTTGATACAAACAAAAGGATAGGAAAAAGTAGGCAAACAGAAGTTTTTGAATTCAGGTTTTGAGTACATTTACACATTCCTTTCTGGGCCCGAGCAGCATCACAATACCCCAGCAGGCACATAAATACAGGCTGATACTAAATAAAGAATTGTGGCTACCAAACAGTACCCTTCCTTGCAGTGGCATTCTTTAGAGTGGAAGCTAAAGAGATCTAGATGACTGATACACAACCCAAGGTTGTTTGAACCTGAACAGATTGCCATTACCTCGGTAGGCAGAGTCACATCTCACAACAGTAGATATCAGTTAACAGAGATTTTGCAGGGAGTTATTTCAGTCAGTTGTACAAGAGGCTGGCACCCACCCAGTTATTTCTCCACATGGGAAATACATGTTGGATATACATGTATCTGTGTTTACCTGGAGGAAGGTTTTTGCCACAAGAGGAGCCTGATATATGTTCCCAGTTGCTACTCTTCTTCAAACACCTTTTAATGTTCGTTTGGTTCAGTTCCCACTGTGTCCTACATGGGGGAAATAGGAGCAGGCTCGTTACAAGGTGTTTTCGTGATCAGTAGCGAAAGTTTTTTTCATGTTATTTTTTCTGTGACTTTCTGTTTTAGCCCTTTAGGTAGATTTTTTTAAGGGAATGTGTTACCTGAATAGATAACATTATGTTAAAACACTGACAGAATAGTGATTCTGGCTTGTGAAACACGGTGTGGGATACCAGTTTTTTTTAGTTGGTAATACATAAATAATGCTTCATAATGACACTCCTCAGAAAGAGTTTAAGATATATTGCACAAATCCAGATGAACCACCCATCTTACACTTGTAGCAATTTGTTTGTTTGACAGATTGGTAAGATGAAATAGAATTTGTTTGTTGTAGGGCATTAGTATTTGTACATATTTCAGCATTGAAGATTGCCTGGCATCTCTTCATGGTTGTAGTGGCTTGCCACACAGCCAGGAGTGTTTCTGTATCATTAGACTGTACTTTCCATAAAGAATGAATGAAATAGAGAGAACGTCTTTATTGATGAAGTACAATTGACACAAGATAGGTTTAGTGCTATCTGCTTAAGGTGATGTCTGCTCCTTTTCATCAACCCTCACCTCGAAATCTGTTTGAGGATGCTATCATGCACCGAATTGCCCAAAGCTGTCGGACAAGAACCTGAGAGTGGCACTTTGATACCACTTCCATACAGCATGCTTACATTATGACTGCCATTTACATCCATACAATCGCTCAGACTAGTCACAAAGCTAGGTTTGGCAGAACAGAAGTGTCAAAGTGAGTCTGGCCACTCCTTTGGTCTTGTGTTGACTACAGTTGTAGTGTAGAATGTACGCTCCTGTAGTAGGCATCCTCGGGACAAATACTAGTGTATATGTAAGAGTGAATATTATCCTACCCTATTTTTTTATCCCGGGGATGAAATTCTCTAGTATCAGGATGATTCTCCCTTGTGAATTCGAACCCATACCAGTGTGTTTAATCCTAAGCTATACTATACTCTAGAATAAAACTTCCCCCAGGATAATATTTAGGTAGGATATTATCCTTGCTGACATATCCACCAGGTCTGTTTATGTATTGTGTCCACACAGGTCAATATACTGTGTAGTCAGTCTGTGTATTGTTTATTATTTTGTTCCAGATATGTGTTCTGGGCAGACCAAGGCTCCAAGAAGATCGAGAGGGTGTGGTTGGATGGGAGTCACCGAATCGTGCTGGTCAACAACAACCTCCACTGGCCCAACCAGCTGGCCGTCAGCTATGGCACAAGGTCAGTATTCCAGCAACACACCCTAATAAGCACAGGCAAACCCTCATTTTTGAAATGGGAGATGCTTATTTGTGGAATATTCCCTCATATGTGGTCCAATCATGATCTCTTATCTGTCATACACATGCTGGTGGGGTTCACGAAACAGGAAGATCCTGACTGATTCGTTCAACATAATCTGATGTAACTGTTCAAAGTCGTGTTAATCCAAAGACTCAAGTAAGACCACTTGTGGTGGATAGAACATCTGCCCTGAGAGTGGAAGGTTGGTGGTTTGACGTTAAAAGATGGTGCTTGTTATTTCCCTGCCGCCCTTGGCATTAAGGTGATAAAACAAGGTTTGGTCGGCCCAAAGTCACGTACTGCATCTGAGTGGGATATCCATGTTAGATGTTTGCATAGTATCTCAGTGGGCTAGCATTATAAAACCAGCATACAACAGGACCAGTACAAGCAGCCACACATACATGCATGCACATATCAATATGAGTGAAATAATCTTCAATTTGACATCATGTTAAGCACCATTTTACCTCACCTCACCTCACCTCACCTCGCCTTGCCTCACCCCACCTCACCTCACCTTGTCTCACCTTGCTTGCCTCGCCTCGCCTCAGCTGTGGGTATCTGTGGTGATATTTTATGACAGCTTCATGTTGCTGGAATATTACTCTCACTGTAGAACCACTTGATGAGTCAAAGTGTTGACATATTGAAATCTTGCCAAATGTTGATGAAGTTTACCTAACCTGACACAAGCAGGAGCAGATCTGTTTGGAGATCAGTTGTATACATGTACCACATGTGGGCAGGAAATTAGAAAAATTCAGTTTTTGTATCTTTGAGGTTTTTAAAGACAAAATCCTAATTAAATGGACCTAGAGAGTTCAGAGGACTTAAGTGTTTCATGGTTGAACAAAGAGTGCTTGCCTGCATGTCTGCCATGGACTTCATGGTTTTATACAATACAGAGATAAAGTATAACATATATATCTCAAAATACAAACAACTTGTGGATAATTTTGATGTATTCAACTGATTTCAGTTTTTAGCGTAAGAAGTATTATTCTATAAATACATAAACATTGTATTACAAACTTTGGCCTTTTACAGCATTTTCAATGAGAACATGTACATTTTTCCAAAATTATTTTTCGAGGTCTGGACCTATTTTCAGTAATAGCTCGTGTGATTCAACTAATTAAATCATTCTGTATTTGCCTGAAATATCAGATGGTGACTGGGCTATCTGGTGCAAGAAACAGAATTCCATCGGTTGAGTTTGATATTTAACTTCATCTGGTGTAGTAGGGTAGTCCAGTGGTTGAAGCATTCACACAGCAGGCCCCAGGCCCGGGTTAGGCTCCCACATGTTTGCAGTTAGTCTGTTTCACAGTATAGTACCTGAGCCATATTATTTCCCTTTTGACCAGCCCTGCTGTAATGCTGGAGCTCTAAATAAAGCAAGTCTAGATTTTCCCCATCTCACTTAGTGTTTGTCTAGGGTGTGAAACCTATTTCTGGTGTCCCTAGCCTGGATGGAATGTTGGCCACACTGGCTTTAAACTACATTCCCTCACTCACTTAACTCAGTCAGTGTCGTGTCTGTATTATCAATGTAACCTGCAGCACAAAGACACATTTGTTCACAGGCTCGTTACAGCGAGTTGTAATGATCAAGTTTGTCCTGCACAAGTGTGCCTGTATCTGACTGTGTTGTGTGTGGTTGACAGGCGACTTTACTGGGTTGACCAACGAAAGCAGCACATCATGTCCTGCAACATTGACGGCAAGGACATCACCAAGGAGCGGGACCTGTCTAAGATTGCCAACAGTGACCCAGTGTTTGGACTTGTGGTGTTTGGTAACACTGCTATCTTCAGTACATGGTTCAGTGCCGGAATCCACTCCACCCTCGTGGCCACCCGACTCAGCTGGAGGGATGAAACCATCACCACACTCTCTGGAAGCCGTGAACTCTTCAGTCTGGTTGCCACCACTCAATCCATGCAGCCACCTAGTGAGTACAAGCAGAGTTGCCTACCCTTGATCAAGTGGTCAGGGATGGAATGGGCAGAATAATCTATTGCAATATCTGTATTATTACTATCATAAGTAGTAAAGGTATTTTAAAATATTTTTGTACATGTGTTTGATCAGCAGATTTTGTTGATGTTAAAAATCTCAGTATTTGTGTGACAGGATGATCACAATCTATATCAAACTGGTGAGGGTATCAGATGAACGAGAAAAGTATGCAATTGACCAATTGTACTGTGAACCTGAAACTTGTCTCCTGTAGGCAACCACCCCTGTGGCCAGGAGGATCGAGGTGGGTGTTCTCACCTGTGTCTGCCAACAAGGGGTACCTCGTACAGGTGTGCTTGTCCCTCCTTTGGGGGTCTAGCCCTCAGCTCCAACAGCAAGAGTTGTGAAGGTGAGAAGTAGTTGCATCTTATGCAGCTGAAACAATTATATAATATATTTTCATGCTGATCTGTCGTCTAGCAGTGCACTTTGACATTTCACAGATGTTTAATATATCAGTTGTTCTTTCTTCGTTCTCCACTGTACATTAAACTCTGTCAGTCATGATGTGTGTACTTCCTGTTTGACTTCATTGTGTCACGTATTGCTATGTGTTTCCAGTGCCGAGCGAGTTGCTGTTCTTCACCCTGAAGGACTCCGGTGACATTGGCTTCATCTCCCTAACTGGTGGACAGTCACCTGACCTCACACTTGTCGGCCGGAGCCCCAGCCCCAGTGCAGTCAGCTATGACCCCATCGAACAGGTTGCTATCATATTTGACACCTGCTTTACATGTTTTAGGGCCCCTAATACAGAGGGGTCACTTTGTCCACCCAATGGGGTCTTATAAATACTATAAATCTTTGTTCTGTGTTGAAGAAGAATATATACAAACCAACTATGCAAGAGACTACATTACATTCAATTTACAAACTATTTCATTAAAGAACTGTTTGATGCTTGGTTCATTATGAGGTGAAGTCACTGACCTCCACTGAGGATGTTGTATTTTAATGATGACTTTACAGTTTGTCTACTGGAGTGACACAACGGAAAACATCATCTACCGTACCAGTCTGGACGGGTCAGAGAGGGAGGTGTTTCTCAACTGCTCTCATGGTGTGGGTGTTGTTGATGGTGAGTCTTATGTCAAACACTCAAGGATTAACAGAACTGCTGTAGATAGTCTGAACTGTAACATTTTGATCTGCACCCTTCCACTTGATACTTGAGCAGTGAATGTTCTCCCTCCCCTAGGCCTGGCAGTGGACTGGGAGGCCCGCAGACTCTACTTCACCAACATGGGGCATTCCACCCCGGGCCTGGACGGAGTTGTCTACTCCTGGCATCGCATTGAGGTCATCAGTCTGGATGGCCGGAACAGGAAGACGGTGGTGACAGATGTTGAGAGTCCTCGAGGATTGGACCTGGATATGAGGAATGGGTGAGTGATTGAGACTGAAAGTGTGGATTTTGCCAGCTTGTATATTCAATTTTGGGTTAATGATAGACTTGCTGACTAATCATATTTTGAATACAAGAGAGAATGAAGGCTTTAATATCTAGGATGTTACCTGGATTACTGGAGGTTGTTGTTCTGCTGACAGATCTCAGTTATAACTAAAATTACTTTCATGACATCAAAAGTGAATTTGGATTTCTTGGAGTTAAAGGTACATTCACTAGGATTTCACTGACAAATGAATGTCTTGTTCCAATTCATTCAATTCATTAAGCTATGAACCTACTTTCTCTATTTCCAGCTTTTTGTTTTACGGAGATTGGGGTAAGAAGCCAAAAATTGTTGCGAGTTTGTTGGATGGCTCAAAGGGGGATATAATCCTAGACAGTGGACTGTCCAACCCCAATGGGCTGACTTTCTACAATGGTCACTTGTACGTTGCCGACTCCAACTTCAACAACCTCACTTCCTCGCCTCATCTCATGGTGTACGACGTCTACACTGCAACCTGGCAACAACTCAAGCTCAGCACCAACGTCTCAGTAAGTGGCCTGCAGCAGCATTAGGTGTTGGCACCAATGTCTCAGTAAGTGGCCTGCAGCAGCATTAGGTGTTGGCACCAACATCTCAGTAAGTGGCCTGCAGCAGCAGTATAAGGTGCCGGCACCAATGTCTCAGTAAGTGGCCTGCAGAAGCATTAGGTGTCAGCACGAACATCTCAATAAGTGTCCTGCAGCAGCAATAGGTGTTGGCACCAACGTCTCAATAAGTGGCTCGCAGCAGCATTAGGTGTTTGCACCAATGTCTCAGTAAGTGGCCTGCAGAAGCATTAGGTGTCAGCTTCAACGTCTCAGTAAGTGGCCTGCAGCAGCATTAGGTGTCGGCACCAATGTCTCAGTAAGTGGCCTGCAGCAGCATTAGGTGTTGGCACCAATGTTTCAGTAAGTGTCCTGCAGAAGCATTAGGTGTCAGCTTCAACGTCTCAGTAAGTGGCCTGCAGCAGCATTAGGTGTTGGCACCAATGTCTCAGTAAGTGGCCTGCAGAAGCATTAGGTGTCAGCTCCAAAGTCTCAGTAAGTGGCCTGCAGCAGCATTAGGTGTTGGCACCAATGTCTCAGTAAGTGGCCTGCAGCAGCATTAGGTGTCGGCACCAACATCTCAGTAAGTGGCTTGCAGCAGCAGTATAAGGTGTTGGCACGAACATCTCAATAAGTGTCCTGCAGCAGCAATAGGTGTTGGCACCAACGTCTCAATAAGTGGCTCGCAGCAGCATTAGGTGTTTGCACCAATGTCTCAGTAAGTGGCCTGCAGAAGCATTAGGTGTCAGCTCCAACGTCTCAGTAAGTGGCCTGCAGCAGCATTAGGTGTGGGCACCAATGTCTCAATAAGTGGCCTGCAGCAGCAGCAGTAAAAGGTGTCGGCACCAATGTCTCAATAAGTGGCCTGCAGCAGCATTAGGTGTTTGGACCAATGTCTCAGTAAGTGTCCTGCAGAAGCATTAGGTGTCAGCTTCAACGTCTCAGTAAGTGGCCTGCAGCAGCATTAGGTGTCGGCACCAATGTCTCAGTAAGTGGCCTGCAGAAGCATTAGGTGTCAGCTCCAAAGTCTCAGTAAGTGGCCTGCAGCAGCATTAGGTGTTGGCACCAATGTCTCAGTAAGTGGCCTGCAGCAGCATTAGGTGTCGGCACCAACATCTCAGTAAGTGGCTTGCAGCAGCAGTATAAGGTGTTGGCACCAACATCTCAGTAAGAGGCCTGCAGAAGCATTAGGTGTCAGCTCCAACGTCTCAGTAAGTGGCCTGCAGCAGCATTAGGTGTCGGTACCAATGTCTCAGTAAGTGGCCTGCAGCAGCATTAGGTGTCGGCACCAATGTCTCAGTAAGTGGCCTGCAGAAGCATTAGGTGTCAGCTCCAAAGTCTCAGTAAGTGGCCTGCAGCAGCATCAGGTGTTTGCACCAATGTCTCAGTAAGTGGCCAGCAGCAGCATTAGGTGTCGGCACCAATGTCTCAGTAAGTGGCCTGCAGCAGCATTAGGTGTTGGCACCAATGTCTCAATAAGTGGCCTGCAGCAGCAGCAGTATAAGGTGTCGGCACCAATGTCTTAGTAAGTGGCCTACAGAAGCATTAGGCGTGGGCTCCAACGTCTCAGTAAGTGGCCTGCAGCAGCATTAGGTGTCGGCACCAACGTCTCTGGGACACTAGCTGGCATCAATTACTTACCACTTCATGTTTCTTACAGCTGCCGATGGGTCTGGCTGTGCGAGGAGACACCCTGTACTACACTGACTGGGTTTCTATGGAGAGTTCCACTGGCTACCTCAAGTCGTATGACCTGCGGTACGGGGTGGACAACACTGTGATGCTGACTGGACAGAAGCCAACAGGTCTCCACTACTCCCCTCTGGCCAGACGGAGACAGGGTGAGTCAAGCAGGTGATGCTGGCCCCTAGGTATCTCACATGATCAGAACACAACATACAAATAGCATATATTTTTAAACATCCAGGAAACGAAAGATTGTAGAAACTGTTTTTTGTTTGTGGAGATACCTTATTTGGTTTAGCTTTATGTGTAGGATAGAACACATATCCAAGGTTTCTTATGAGATTTAACACCTGAATCCAAGAGATATGACCCAGGGGTCACAGCCAAGAGGATGCGGATTTTAAATGTCTGAAAAAATCCAAGGGCAAGTGTTTTATCCAACTTATTAAAAAAAGTCTCTACAACAATTATGAACAATTTTATGTTTTAAGCATACTTTCCATGAACCTTAGGAAACAGATGTAAAATATCTCATGCAGTTGTACATGTACCTGAAAAAGAGATTCTTACAAGCTTACTGTTCACACAGACATGAAGGTTGTGTGGTTGATCCACTGAAATATAAAAACAAACATTCGTTATTTGACTTTACATCATTCCGCACATTTTCTTGTCTACATTGTGCTCAATTGTAAAATAAATCTCTTGTGAGGTACACTCACATGTTGCAATATCACCCAAAGTTTTAAATATATAATGCTTGACATATTATAACAACCACATTTATGAGATTTAACCCAATTGGAGAATGATAGGATGAAGTCACTGGAGCTTTATCAGTTATAGGTATAACAACCGTTTAGAATGAGAGTCTGTTTTTTTTTATATGAGTAAGTGTTGTAATGTTCATTGTTAGAAGCTGCTGAAGGGTCATGTGAACATACTGGATGCAGCAATGAGTGTGTGCGAGTTCCATCGTCACCAGCCCACCCCATGCAGTGTATGTGCCCCGATGAGTCCGCCAAGATCCTCACCAGCAACAAGGTCACGTGTGACAGTGAGTACATCAGGAAACTACTGTCTCGGTGTTGTAGAAAGGGACTACAACATCACATGAATATTGATGTGTGTGTGTTTGTGACAGTGAGTACATCAGGAAACTACTGTCTCGGTGTTGTAGAAAGGGACTACAACATCACATGAATATTGATGTGTGTGTGTTTGTGACAGTGAGTACATCAGGAAACTACTGTCTCGGTGTTGTAGAAAGGGACTACAACATCACATGAATATTGATGTGTGTGTGTTTGTGACAGTGAGTACATCAGGAAACTACTGTCTCGGTGTTGTAGAAAGGGACTACAACATCACATGAATATTGATGTGTGTGTTTGTGTCAGTGTGTGTAAAGCCCTAGTTGAGGAAGTAGTTGAAACATTGCTCGTGTGGTCAGACACACCAATTATCAAAATGGTGTACATTTGTCTCACTGGAGTGGAAACTCAGTTGGAAGTTACACCATGAGGAATCCTTATACATGCAATGTTTGCTCTGTCCCTACAGGGCCACAGAATTTCCTGTTGTATGCCGACCTCAACACTTTGAAGCTCAACAGCCTTGACCCTGAATCAGAAGAGGCAACGCACACACTACTCTACAGTGACATCAAGAGCAACTTCATCGCAGTTGCTTATGATGAGAGAACTGACACCATTTACTGGAGTGACATCAACAAGTCAGTGTGCTAGCTTCCGCATCTGAATAAATACCAATATAGATCTTGAATCTACAAAAGGATAAGGTCACTTGGGCATCCATATTAATGTTGCTTGAACATCAAATAAATACAGAGTTTTATCACTCAATGACAGCATCTGTCCTTTCTTTCAGGAGAGCTATCTTCTCATCACCATTCAATGACATCAGCCCCCAGCTGGTGTATCAGAGCATCCACCACGTTGATGGGCTGACCATTGACGGTGACCGACAAAGGCTGTTCTGGACTGGCTACCTCAATAACGGTTCTGGAATCATCGCAAGGATCAACCTCCAGCGAGGGAAGTCATCCTACCACGAGATAGTCACGGGGCTACACAGTCCCAGGGCAATTCTACACATCCCTAAGAAGAAGTGAGTACATCTGAGTTTGTTCATAATGACAAGGGACAGGATGAAATTTGATCTGATCTTGATAAGGATGTGATGTGTTCTTTCTAGTATATGGACCAAAATTAGCTCCCCTTTGACATTTAACTCACAGCAACCAACTATTACCAATTTTCAGGGATAGTCAGAAGCTGAAGTTCTTTCCTTGAAGTATGAACTCTGGGCTACTGTTCTCAGCTGTTTTTACTGGATACTTGGGTACTGTTCTCAGCTGTTTTTACTGGATACTGGGGTACTGTTCTCAGCTGTTTTTACTGGATACTGGTGTACTGTTCTCAGCTGTTTTTACTGGATACTGGGACTTAAGACTTAACCTCACTGTTGCAGGCTGCTGTTTTGGACTGAGTATGGTACGAAGATGTCTCCCCCAAGTGTCCACAAGTCTCGGGCTAATGGCAAGCACCACAAGGTGATCATGTCTGAGGGCCTAGTCTGGCCCAATGCCCTCACAGTGCAGGAGGACAAGCTGTTTGTCGGGGACGGCTGGGGGAAGGTCTTCACGCTCAAGTTTGATGGTGAGAGAAGTCTATATTTGGACTATCTTACCATTATGTTCTGTTGTATTACAAAACTTGTCCAGTATAAACATTGACAATGTAAAGGAGTGTCTAGCTATCATCCAGGCAACTCAAGACATGTTAAGATTCTGATATATTAAAAAATTGGAAACAGATGCGTTGCTGTTGTCGTTATTGTTCATATCAGTGGAGAATTGACCAATGATCATTTAGTATAGAAGCAACGTAATTAGGCAGTTGTAGTGGAAGACATAATTTTCTTTCTGTCACTTTTAACTTTGATGTCCTTGTCTTATTAACTCTGTATGCATGAGCATGTGTCTGGACTCCAGGTGAGTTTATCTTGTGCCTTGTTGATCTCCCAGGGAACGAGGTGAAGGAGCTGATGTTTCTAACTGGAGCATCCTTCCATATCTTTGGCATGGTTGTGTTTGAAAACGCACTCTTCTACTCGGATTGGCACACCCACAGTGTTTACATGGTTGACATGGTAACTGGAGACCAAGAAACCATAGCAACACATCTCTCCAGACCTACAGCTGTTGTTATTTATCATCCAGCAAGTCTCAAAGGTATTGTTGACCTGGAAAAGATGCACTGCCAGATAACTTAGTTCCTTTCATTGGTAACATGTTATAATATTTGCAACAATTAACTTTGTGAATGGAAGTTTAAGAGTGAGGAGTGTCGTGTTTCGTTTGCAACAGATCAAGATGACGTATGATAGGATTCTTAATTGCCTCAAGATGTCTTTTGATCAGCTTCCCTTCACACCCAATCTTAACAAGGTACATGGAGACATGTGGCCTACTTAGCAGTCCTAACAAGTGTGAATGAAGCTGGTGACACACCACTGGAACCTAAGTTTTGTTATCAGTTTCAATCTCCCAATAATATTCAAATTCACTGTGGGCACAAATTTCAAAGTCCAAACCTAGACTGGAAATTGGCTTCAGATGGAAGGCCCTAGTGTTTTTTTATTCATGTGTCTGAAGGTGCTGCAGTTGGCCTACCAGAGTTATGTCCCTTAGACATACAAGTGATCTTCTCATGCTGGGTTTAAAAACCAAATTTGCTCCAATTATGATCAGCACCATTATGCATACAGTTCTAAACATCTACCTCACACATTAAGTAGTGATTGAAATTCTCTTCCAAATGTTAAACCAAACTCACTCAATCATTTTTTTTGGTTGCCTTTATCAATATGACTAAGATTGTTTTTATCCCCACAGCATATGATGTAGGAGGATATAGTCATCACCTAGTCTGTCTGTCCGTCCTTATTTTGTTTCCGGGGCATAACTTGAAAACTGTGAAAGATAATATTTCATCCAAACTTGGTACATGTATTAACCAGGGGCGGAAGTGGTGCCTTTTGATATTGTAGGGGCCGGGGTAATTTGTCATCCTCTGATGACTCTTGTTGTATATTGCTGAAGGTACAGCATCACTTTATAAGAATTGAGTGCAGTTGGAAGAACATTTTTTACTTGACTGTTACAGAGAACAACCTATGTACAACAAGCAGGGGGGAGCGAGTGTGCAGCAACATCTGTGTGCCTGTCCCACGCTCATATCACTGTACATGTTCTGTGGGGTCCAAGCTGGCAGCAGACGGCAAGAACTGTATCCAGAGTAAGTGCCATGGTGTAAAGTGTATGATCAATAATGTGTGATCCATCTTCCATCTCAGCAAGACATCTGCACTGTGTACGTGTGGCCTTTCTCTGATGCTGCTGCTTCTGTTTCAGTGTCCAGCCCCTGGGAAATGACGGAGGAGTTCCGGTGTGGCCAGGATTGTGGCGACAAGGCTCACTGCGCACAGCTCATTCCGGAGCTCAAGTACCAGTGTGTTTGTCAGGGAGGTTATCAAGGAGATGGCATTGAATGTGAATGTAAGTGGACAGGTTGTGAAGCTTAGACTGCTATCAAGGAGACAGAACATGAATGTATCTCAAATTTCTGTAAGGATAATTCTGATGGATGGGACAAGAAGATGTTTCATTGGATGTACATTTTGTTGTTCATTCCTAATGATCTTTGTATTTGCAGCATGCAGTCCCGACTCCTTCAAGGCATTCCTTGGCAACAGCACATGTACCCCTTGCCCTGTTGGCATGACGACCCGTGGTGTCCCCTCTGCCACAGAGTGTGTGTGTGAGGACCGGTATGCCCACAACAGCAATGGAACATGTGTCTGTAAGTTCATCCAACAAATCCTTTCAAAACACAGTAAAGCACCCAGCAGTATTAATGCATAACACTGCAGAATTTTCATGTACAATTTACTGATTAAAGATACAGACACTCTCAATGATGCCTCAACTCAATGAAAGAAAACTGGATTAATGACAATACTATTCTAGTATATATGTATGAATTTTGGCACAAAAATCTGTATATAGGTCAATGACTTGGACCCGAGAAATGTAATAAGTCAATGTTAAAAGTGAAAAAAGGACCAACCATAACACCAAATCAATGCAATACCAATCATGGTTGGATGAATAAACAGGATCTGACCATTGAAATTTGTGATTAGAAAAGCTCATCACAAAGTCACTATAGCTCCTAACAGTGTTTTCCTATGATACAGAGTGAGTGAGTGAGTTAAGTTTAACGTCACCCTATGATACAGAAAGTATGATGTAAAGACACACGCTGGTCAGAATAATTATTACAATTTTGATGGCTGTGCATTGTTCTATTCTAAGTAGTACTAATCATCACTATTTACTTTTAATTTCTGAAATTATGAAACGTGTGCAACCTTGCTTAGCATTTCTATCAAACCATCTGTCAAATTAAAATTTTATCAGTCTGACCGACAGCAATCTAAAACTCTATTATATAATTACCAATACTGTTCTGTACGTTTTTCAACAATAAGGAGGATACATGTGTTGACAAAGGTTGAATAAATGGGGCAGCTGTAACAGTGGAAGGGGAATCTGACTGTTTTTTAGTCAATGTAGGTATTTTTTTCTGTGATACAGATTGTCACATTTGGTTATAGGATGAATGAGAGTATGAGTAACAAAACCCTGAAACTGGGAGCTTGAAGGTATTGATTGATATTCAACTTGTGAATGTCTCTAATAGGTAAGTCTGGTTCCCAAGTGAAGCAAGAGTACAGTGTTGACTTCAATGGGACCTGTGACCCTGGTGACGACTATCTCAAGACAGAGCTGAGGGATACAGCGCTGCGCTATTTGGCTCGCTACGACTTATGTCAGATGCATCATTGTCAATTCACTGACCTCACTATTGGGTGTATTGAGACTGGGACCAAGAAACGTTGGTTCAACACAAAACAGTTCCAGCTCAGGTGGAACATCACCTACAATGACTGGTATGTGTTTGGTAGTGGAAGACTGGGATTGGTTTGTGTTTGATGTAGAGCTTGGGATTATATAGACAGTACAGCTGGGACTTTATTATAAAAGACAGTAAAACTGGGATTATATAGACAGTACAGCTGGAACTTATATGCAGTAAAATTGGGATGATATTGACAGTAAAGCTGGGACATTATAGACAGTAAAACTGGGATGATATTGACAGTACACCTGGGAATTTATAGACAGTAAAACGGGGATGATATTGACAGTACACCTGGGACTTATAGACAGTAAAACTGGGTTGATATTGACAGTACAGCTGTGACTTTATAGACAGTAAATGGGATGATATTGACAGTACAGCTGGGACATTATAGACAGTAAAACTGGGATGATATTGACAGTACACCTGGGACTTTATAGACAGTAAAACGGGGATGATATTGACAGTACACCTGGGACTTATAGACAGTAAAACTGGGATGATATTGACAGTACACCTGGGACTTTTAGACAGTAAAACTGGGATGATATTGACAGTACACCTGGGAATTTTAGACAGTAAAACTGGGATGATATTGACGGTACAGCCGTGACTTACAGACAGTAAAACTGGGATGATATTGACAGTACAGCTTTGACTTTTAGACAGTAAAACTGGGATGATATTGACAGTACAGCTGAGACGTTATAGACAATAAAACTGGGATGATATTGACAGTACAGCTGGGATTATATAGACAGTAAAACTGATATTGTATAGCTGGGATTATGTACACAGTAAAACTGATATTGTAAAGCTTGGATGATATTGACAGTAAACCTGATATTGTATAGCTGGGATTATGTACACAGTAAAACTGATATTGTATAGCTGGGATTATGTACACAGTAAAACTCATATTGTATAGCTGGGATTATGTACGCAGTAAAACTCATATTGTAGAGCTGGGATTATGTACACAGTAAAACTCATATTGTATAGCTAGGATTATGTACACAGTAAAACTGATATTGTATAGCTGGGATTATGTACACAGTAAAACTGATATTGTAAAGCTTGGATGATATTGACAGTAAAACTGATATTGAAAATCTGGGATAGGTATAGTTTTAAAAGAATCAACAGTTGGGTAATAAGATATTGTATAATCAAGGATTTGCAGTGGTTATTCTTTTTTTCCTTTCAGCACTGGTCAGAATGGGCGTGCCATAACCAAGGACTTGGTCAGCATCAAACGTAAATTGGAGGATCTGGCCATGACCCTGAAGGTCAGCTTGGACAAGCAAGTGTACTCCACCATCCCCGGGAATGTGAAGGTGTCCCCACCCCATGTGGCCTGTCTGGCAGACCAGTATCAGGGGAGCTGTGGTGAGTCGGCCCTCTGCCTCTACATCCAGCCACACAGCTGGAAATGGGAGGATGAAAAGTATCAAACTTGTTGGTCCTTTGTATATGCTCAATCTAGTTCATCCTCAGACTGAAGACCCTCGTTCATTTCCCTACTTGGGTACAATGTGTTAAGCCCATATCTGGTGTCCCCCGCCATGATATTGCTGGAATAATTCTAAAAACGGGTGTAAAACCATACTCACTCAGTCAATCACTCATCCTCAGAGCATGAAGACATTCTTCTTCAGATTACTGTATATCACCATCTATAAAGCGACCTCACGTATAAGGTGACCCCCACACACACACACACACACACACACACACCCCGCCCCCACCCCCACCCCCTGTACAACCCTTCAAAATCGAAGCTAATTTAATACCCACTATTAAAACTTTAAAGAATTTTAAAGAATAGTGTCTGAAATTATTATTTTATCAGGAATAATTTATTCCAATATCATGTTATTTTAGTTGCAGCTTTACTATATATATTTGAAATACATTAATAAGCCTAGCACTTTTGTACAGTTGATCGCTATTGCTGGATATTTTTTCATATAGAACAATTTGACTAATCACCATTGATGCTCCCACGTTTGCGATAGCAAAAACTTAGTTTGCGTACTTCAGTACGGATCTGTTGACATGGTATTTCTGGTGTTTCTTGCTCACAGTAATGTCTTTGTGTTGGGGAAAAAACATCAAAACTCTTCAACCCTGTGAATAAGACGACCCCTCCTGAAAGCCCCCTAATTCTAGGTATGAAAAACTTGCCTTATACATGGCGATATACAGTAGATCACTTTCACACAAAAGTCAAAGAGCCTTTGGCTCAACACTTTCTTCACCTAGAGGCTCAAATAACAGTGTAGTCAGACAATATATTTATGCAAGCCTGACCATACTCAGTGTTGCCATATAAAATTATGTTGGTTAAATGGTTAAATTGGGAATGTTCTAGGAAAGTCTCCACCTCCTGCCATGACAACAGAAGCTGCTATGACATCAGAAGAGATGACTTCTGCTGAGATCATTGTCTCGTCTTCAGCAGAAACCATGGCACCACTTGATGCAACAACTGAAAGATCTGGATACATGACATCTGAGGAGGTCACAGAAGATGATCTGGACCTGGTGACTATGGACGAGGTGACAGTTGAAATGACTGACAGCTTAGTGACCACTGCTCCAAATATTGTTCGGTCAGAGGTAACAACTGCATCTGTCATGATTGTTACTGAGAAAAAGGAAGAGGTTCAAGTCGCTCGAGGTTTGTTTTCTTTCTGGTGACAGTTAGACCACCACAGATTTGTTATTTTTATTTTTGAATCTCATCATATTTTCAAAATTGAAGTTTACAAATACAGTATTATCAAGAAACAGGAAAAGTAAATTGTTTTGGAGACAAGTGAAAACAAATCAAGTAAAGAAAATATATGAAACGAAATTGTTGAGTCAGCTAATATTTAATCTATTTGTGTATATTTGAAATTGGACCTCTCTAGTCCTTTCTTGTCTCCTGCAGGAAAGCCCTACTTTGAGGGATGCCCTCAAGGTGAGTTAAAGGTCATGGAACTTGACTCCAACAGCAAGACAGTCAAGCTGTCCACTGACTCCTTGATAGCTATGGATTCCTATGGCAGCCTCCTGCCGATCAACTCCAACTATCCAATCACAGATGGGCACATTACACTTCCATGGCAAGCCAATGGGAAAGCAGGACAGCACACAGTGTTGTTCCAGGCTGAGGACAACTGGAAGCAGAAGACTACTTGTCAGTTCCAGGTGATCATCAATGGTAAGTGGTAGCGTCGCACACATCATCATACTACCATATAAAAGATATTCTTTAAGGTGAATATTGTTAAATCTGATATCTTGATAGCCTCGCTAATATTTCGAAGACTTTTTGGTACAATTAATTTACCTGTATCTGGTCGGCATGAATCCCATGTGAGATATAATTGGCTTCGGTTTTAGAAATATAGATAGCATATGAGCATGAAAATATTCTGATATCCTAAATTATATGCTATATTATAATTACAGTCACTTGTATGCAGAAGATAAAAAGTTTTTCGAGCATTTTGTTTTCTTTCTTAAGTTCGTTGAATTTAAACTCATTCATCACCAGCATGACTAAACACTAATGCTGTTCCAGTTGTTGAAAAATCTCAAAACATTTTTTGCGTGTATTGATACGATATCACTTGATAAGACTATGCAATAATCCTAGTGGAAGCCTCATCAAACATTGAGCCAACTCCATTTCAATGATAAAACATGATTTTCTTTTGAAGACTCCATCCCACCAAAGTTCACCTTTTGCCCAAACATCAAACCCATCAATACAAACCATCACCGTCAGAAAGTCACGTGGAATATCCCTGTGGCCACTGACAATGTGGAAGTGCCAACGGTGACGGGGTCACACAAGCCTGATACTGAGTTCAAGCAGGGGACCACCATCATCAACTACACAGCTGTAGACAAGGCAGGCAACACAGCCATCTGCAACTTTACTGTCATAGTCATTCAAAGTAAGCAGACTGATAGGAATTGTAACAAACCAAACATTATCTGATCCCAGGAACTGCTGTCACAATTACCCTGTTCTCGGAAATGACTTGACTTTAAACATTTGCCTGTTTCAGAACAAAGCTGTACCCTTCCATCCATCAAAAATGGTGCCTTTGTGTGTGGCCATGACCACACAAAGATTGACAACTGCTACATTGCATGTGACAAGGACTTTGTCCTTCACCCTGTCATCATCTTCTCTCGACCTTTCAACTGTATGGTGGTCAAGGACATCGTGCAACTAACCGGCATGCTGCAGTATCATGAGCCATGTTTACGTAAGTCTGCCGTAGCCACCGAACAACTGTTTTTGTATAGTGAACAGCTGAGACAACTGCTTGTCAGATAGGGGAGCAATGTTGGTCTAGTAGTCTTAGGTGCTGCAACTCATTGTGCAGAGTTGCTCCCCTTAACTGCCAGGATCCACTTGAATTGGGTTTGATTCCCAGAATGTTCCCATTTATCATTCTTGGTTTGTTAACACCATCCATGTGCCAATGGTTGTCACCAGGGGGTACAAAGTTTGTTCCAGACTTAAGTTACACTGTGGAAAGTTAGGTGCTGTAGGAATAAAAAAACAGCATTGCTTTCTAACCACAAAAGTGAAATACTGTTTGAATGTAGAAGACAACTCACATCTTGACAGTTTAGGCTTCCATTTTAGTTTCATCTTCTGAGTGATGATTAAACACTGCAACAATCACAGTCCCTTAAATAACTGAAATGAGAAATGAGGGAGTTAATCCAAATCCTATTTGCAATACATGGTAAAGGTATGTATGTGTAATGTATATGACCATGCCTATTAATGTGATTCCCGGGATCCAGGTAAGAGACTGTCTAGAACAGTGAGGCAGGAGTTCAGCCTAAGCTTCAACGGCCCGTGTGACCCTGATGACAACAACCTCAAGGCCCAGCTCTCCATCTCGGTGTTGAAGTACCTGGATACTCGCAACCTCTGTCAGTGGGCAGAGTGCACCTTCGGGAATATCACCATCCACTGCGGCCCCACAAGCACCAAACAACGCCGCTACGTCGAGGACCAATTTCATGTCAAGTGGAACATCACTATTGACAACAGGTACTGACAACGAAACAGTTATAGCATATGAAGGATTTTATAATTTTACTTTGCATTATTATTATTATTATTATTATTATTATTATTATTATTATTATTCATGACTCATACTAATTGCTTATCTCAGTTAGAGAACAGTGAAAACATCTCACCCAAATGCACCCATGATCTGTGCAAACACACTGTAGCCACATGACCAAGGCTGGTATTTTGTCACTGTCTCATTTTCACACCAATTGAGTAGCTGGGAAAAAGATTATTTTGTACAATCTGCCATTTGCATTTTTCAGAACATGATTCCCACATCTCCTTAAGGGAGAAGTGTAGTTTCTGCGCTCCATTAGGAGGAAAACATGTTTGCACAATACCCTCTTCATTGTGCAGGGGAGTGAGTTAGACCATAAGAGAAAAAAAACATCAGATCTATTTCAAGAGACGGCATCCATGAAGAAGACAAAGTTCGAGGTAACTCCTTACCTTCTTCAGAGGATGACAGACTACAGGCCACCTAATGTAATAGAAGGAATCCAAGTTGATCTTCCTTCTTCACAGAGTAAGTCAGTCATGCCTCTGCTAAGTGCTTCTTTGATGTCGACACTCTTGTGAAAGGGCTCATCCAGGTCTAAGAAGAAATCTACTGCTGTTACCTCCAATCGCATTAAAAAGGCTGTAGCTAAGAAGAAAAGCAGTTCTTTCTCTTCACTGAAGTCTTCTTCAACTACAAGAGCCATACCTTCACGAAGGCTATCACCTCAACGTCCAGACATACGTAAACTTCTACAGCGAGGAAAACAGATATTGGTACACAGTAGATGACCTCCATGCAGCTATTGATGTTCGTGAACATCCCACAATCTTTACAGTCCCTGACATACACACAGGACTAGTTCTTCAGGCAACCCCAGGCCTGAGCACAGATTCTGGCCTTCGCACAGCCAACAACATTTGTCCAGCAAGGTACTTTGCCTCCTACATCATCAAATACTGATTCAGTAAATAGTGTTACACAGCAACATCAGACATTTAAAGAACTCTCCCTGTAGACAACCCTTTCAAAGTCCTCTTGTTTTTCTGAATAACATTCCAAGGTCTTACCGTTCTGGCACAATAACACCTTGTACTTACTGCAGGACGAGGATGTGTTTGAGCCTGTCTTTGATGAGGAATCATTCCAGTTGGAGGATCATCCCTCCATCTAGGAGGATCACTGATAGACTTCCCATCTCTTCATCTTTCAAAGACCTTCCCCTTATGATAGTTACTGTATCAAGGGTGATGATGTCGACCCTTTTGACTGTTCCACCTATTACACCTATTCACAAATAGCAAAGAATAGGAACGTTTCTTTTGCAAAGGGTTACCATTCCATCAGAAGGAGCATTGACGTTCTACTGAACGGCACTTTCAAAAGGAAATTTCTGCGTCCTCTTGAGCTGTCTCACTTCACGAAGGCACTCATCACCTCTTCACCAGAACTACAAGTCGACATTGCAACGATCAACCTGGAACACAAGTCATCCTTTGCTCGTCAATGATCATTGAGTTGGTGAATTTGGACACATTGATTCGGCATACGCTCCAAATGATCTTTACGCTCCTACAAGGCACAGTTTTCTGGTAATATTGCCGCACTTCCGCATGGTCTTGATCACTTTACATCATACAATCTTTCAGTCCAAAGAGTTATGTATTAAGCCTTGTCTACCAGATGAAGCTTCGACCTTATAATTGTTTTACATGGGACCAGGCATTGGTTCACAGATGAACACAATCTCCAAGTCAACAACTTGGTGGATATATTTGTGACAGTCAGATAGCAACCTTCATCTCACCAGTATCAGTCCCACAAGCTTGGACCAATGATGCGATGACAATTTCTGAGAGGGACTTCAAGGATTGATATAGATCTCTGATGTTACAGAAGATACTACTAACAAAGAACCTGCAACTGCTTTTGGTCGTGCCTTATTGAGCAGCAAGGACTTAGTTTCCAGAACGTGTTGCATTAGCAGGAAGTGCAGCGCTAAAACTCACAAACTGGTCAAAATCATTCAAAACATCCGGAGCTTTTCAAGCTTCACATATGGAACATATCACAAACAGCCTCACAAGATGAGGATATTCCGTCAGAGCAGCTTAGGCAGTTTCCTTTGTTCCTCCTACATCAACGAGGAATTTATATGTGACAACTGGAAGAGTTCTGACCAGTTTCTGAGATCCAAAGGGCTTACAGCAGCTAAAGCTACTTCTCCACAAGAAGCAGGTTACTTGTGTCATTTACGAAGCACAAGGAATCTTAAGGGTTCTGCTCAGGGCACTTACCTGGTGCCTGTTAGTTCCATTCTGACTATATAACTGACTGGGGAAAACTTACTAAAGTTCCCAAACTGATAGCTCTACTGAGATCAACAACGTAATTCAGTTTATTGTTCTTCTCTCAACACTTTCATCATTTAAGGCAAACAAGATTTAATATCTCATGTTAGCCTTAATAAATCCATGAAATCTTGCAGGTGGAACCCTCCCACTTCTGTGAGATTCAAGCGATTAGTATGAGTCAGGATAAGGTAAAATATGTATTTTGTAGTTTATAAAAATAGATTATACTTATCCTGACTCACACGCTAGATGTGTTTTGGATCATTAAGTAGGAGAAATAGAGAGACTCGAGTGACCAGCCTTGGTCATGTGGCTCCAATGCGCCTGCCCAGATCAGAGGTGTGTTTGGATGAGATTTTTTGTCTGTTCTCCGGGAACACAGCACAGGAAGTTTCCACTACCTTTCGGAAAAGATATGAGATAAGCAATTAGTATGTGTCAGGATAAGTATAAATGATATTTTTACCCTTAAAAAATACATTTTTTATCATTGTAGAAAATGTATTCTATCTTTGTACTTTCTTTGCATCCATCACTATTCACACAGGATATTCTTATTGGTAAAGTGAAATATGATAGGATCAGTTGATGTAATGTTTGGTGTTTTCACAGTGAAATCAGCATCGAGCTTAGGTCAAGGTCAAGCATAATATCTGAGATAGATGGGCCCCAACATATGTTACACCTGCAGCACTACAGTGTTTAAATAAGTTTTTGTGAAAAACAAATGATAGAAAACTCTAGGAAGGTGATAAGATGCATTTAAGACTGTGAACAAGATGTCAGTATTTTAATGTAAAGATATCATTCCTGTTGGCCAGGAACTAGTAGACAGCATGCTATAGGTGTGTTAGTGCAGTAGTGCAGTAGAGTATTGTATACTACATCATTGCCTGTGTGTGGCAGCACGGGGTTCAGCCGTGCCCAGGTGGAGTCCATCCTGATGAACATCAACCTTGTGCTGGTCAATCTGGCCAAGTTCTTGTCCATCAATGTGGACGAGCAGCAGTACACCACCGTCCCAGGCACAGTGCGCAGAACCCCCCTACAGTGGGTGTGTCAGACAGGAGCCATGGTCTACGATGATGGCTGTGGTGAGTTATACATATCTGTGTGTGGGGATTATATTTTTATGGCATGGATTTACAGTTATTCTGTCTATAACTGTGTCAGTTCGGTAAGGACATGCTCTTCCAGACAATAGAAAAATTAATTTCACCACAATGTAAAATAGTTTTTGTCTGATTCACAAGGATACTAATACTACTAAAGATGTGTATTTTTCACTATAAACTAGTAGAATTTGTTCAACTGGCAATGACCCATGCAATGATGGTGGGGTGGGTTTGGTGTGTTGTTGCTTGATTACCCGACATGTCACAGTAAATGATCTCTCAACCTGCTTTTCACAGTGTCCTGCCCAGTGGGAACCCTGCACAACTCCAGCATCGGGCGCTGTGCGCTGTGTCCCCGGGGATACTACCAGGACAAGGAAAGGCAGACCCAGTGCCAGCGCTGCCCTGAGGGATTCACCAAGGAGGAGGGAGCTGTTGGCCCCGCTCAGTGTAAGCTGCTCATACAGCCTTGGAGACATAGAATCAGGGCTGAATAGAGTCATTTACATTCTGCTCATACAGCCTTGGAGACATAGAATCAGGGCTGAATAGAGTCATTTACATTCTGCTCACACAGCCTTGGAGACATAGAATCAGGGCTGAATAGAGTCAGTTACATTCTGCTCACACAGCCTTGGAGACATAGATTCAGGGCTGAATAGAGTCAGTTACATTCTGCTCACACAGCCTTGGAGACATAGAATCAGGGCTGAATAGAGTCAGTTACATTCTGCTCACACAGCCTTGGAGACATAGAATCAGGGCTGAATAGAGTCAGTTACATTCTGCTCACACAGCCTTGGAGACATAGAATCAGGGCTGAATAGAGTCAGTTACATTCTGCTCACACAGCCTTGGAGACATAGAATCAGGGCTGAATAGAGTCAGTTACATTCTGCTCATACAGCCTTGGAGACATAGAATCAGGGCTGAATAGAGTCAGTTACATTCTGCTCACACAGCCTTGGAGACATAGAATCAGGGCTGAATAGAGTCAGTTACATTCTGCTCATACAGCATTGGAGACATAGAATCAGGGCTGAATAGAGTCAGTTACATTCTGCTCATACAGCATTGGAGACATAGAATCAGGGCTGAATAAGAGTCATTTACATTCTGCTCATAAAGCATTGGAGACAAAGAATCAGGAATGAATAGAGTCAGTTACATTCTGCTCATACAGCATTGGAGACATAGAATCAGGGCTGGATAGAGTCAGTTACATTCTGCTCATACAGCATTGGAGACATAGAATCAGGGCTGAATAGAGTCAGTTACATTCTGCTCACACAGCATTGGAGACATAGAATCAGGGCTGAATAGAGTCAGTTACATTCTGCTCATACAGCATTGGAGACATAAAATCAGGGCTGAATAGAGTCAGTTACATTCTGCTCATACAGCATTGGAGACATAGAATCAGGGCTGAATAGAGTCAGTTACATTCTGCTCATACAGCATTGGAGACATAAAATCAGGGCTGAATAGAGTCAGTTACATTCTGCTCATACAGCATTGGAGACATAGAATCAGGGCTGAATAGAGTCATTTACATTCTGCTCACACAGCATTGGAGACATAGAATCAGGGCTGAATAGAGTCAGTTACATTCTGCTCACACAGCATTGGAGACATAGAATCAGGGCTGAATAGAGTCAGTTACATTCTGCTCATACAGCATTGGAGACATAGAATCAGGGCTGAATAGAGTCAGTTACATTCTGCTCATACAGCATTGGAGACATAAAATCAGGGCTGAATAGAGTCATTTACATTCTGCTCATACAGCATTGGAGACATAGAATCAGGGCTGAATAGACTCATTTACATTCTGCTCATACAGCATTAGAGACATAGAATCATTTATGAAAGGCCATTCACTTAATTTTGTAACATCCTTTTATGAATCTTTGCAATCATATTTCAGGTGTGTCCTTCCCCTCCATTGATGAGATGAGTAAATTCCTGATTATCACGGCCTGTACATTCGGCTTTGTGTTCCTCTGTATGGTCATCTTCATGTACACACAGTATCAGCGCCAACAGAAACAAGCCCGCAAAAGTCTTGCCCTTGCCAACGCCTCACGGTACATGATGCCTAACATCTATGTTGCTCCCCCACCTCTGCCAAAGGCGAAATTTAATGAAAAGCCTTCTGACGCCCGAGACTATCTTGGTTACCATGACTATGAGGATATCGATGGGGCCGCAAACACTAAAGCAACATTTGAAGCCTTTTACCGCACCCCCCAGTCCCAGAGAGACTCAATGAACTCCTTCAAGACTGCCAGTGATATAGTGTATCGGATACCACCATCGCCATCTCCCAGGGAGTCGTCGGGGACTAATTCTTTCAAGGCCTCAGATGACACATTGGTGCCCAATTCTCCACGAGAGTCTACAAAATCGTTCCGGTCAAATGAAGGGTTTTATAACTATAAGCCCCCGATGTCTCCTCGGGCATCGACCAACTCATTCAAGTCGTCCCCCGAGTCGCCCTATCGAAGCCCCCAGTCTGCGAGGGACATGATGGGAATCCACCGCTCTCCCCCTGAGTCACCTTATCGGAGTCCACACATGCAGCGCACGTTCCGAGGATCGCCAGAAACTCCGCACAAATCCATCAGAGGATCGCCGGAGATGCCCCACAGGTCTTTCCGTGCCTCCCCAGAAATGCCTCATCGGAGCTTGTCAAACAATCGTGATGTAGTCATCATGCCCAGCACCTTCAGATCAAACCCAGAGTCGCCCTATCGCAGTCCAAACCTGCCAAAAGACGGCCAAAGTTCGTTCAAGCCTCTGAGTGATTCTCTGTATAAGCGCCCACCATCTCCCATCTCCCCCTCCACATCCAGCCGTGTGTCCAGTGATTCGCTCTACAGGCCCCCATCCACCCCCCGGGCATCCCCCAACGCTTCCCGCGCTCGCCTGGAGGCCATGTTCAGGACACCCCCATCTCAACGCTCTAAGAAATCCATCACGGAAAACAGTTGCTATGAATATGAGTAACTCTTTCTTTGGACTTTGAAAAGAGTAAATGAAGATATACTTCCATTTTCTTTGACTAGTGACAATGGTCTATAATACTCGAAGTTCCTCTTTAGGGTGTCTGAAGTTTTTAACTTTTAAGATGAAGTTCTCTCTGAGATGAGACAGGTGATGAAGTTTGAGTCTGTGACTTCATCTTGAAGAAGTGGGAATTGTTTTCACAAAGAGAGTGGAATCTTTTTGTCATTTAGCCATCATTTATCTCATAAAAACTTCAATATGAGTATTGTCTTGCCCAGACTTGATGTATATGATGATGATAATTATAGTTATTTATGTACATATCTTTTGTTGCCAAATAGCACTAACAAAAAGTTAGCATTTTTCATACCTGGATTTATTCCAAATTAACATTCATTCATTTTACACCAAACCATATCAGGATTTCAAAAAGAATTTTAAATCTTTGATTCGGTTATTTAATTTTTTGCAACCAGTAACCTCAAAATTGATGTATAAATGATACTTGTACATTGTATTGTTGTGTTGAATCTTGATAATCATTTGCTGAAAAAAAAAAGTATTTTGTTTTCTGTTGGTGATTTCTGAAATTGAAAGAGGGCAGCATTTTCTTCTATTGTGAAAATATGTTCCCCTCTGGTGTATTAATTTACTTAAAGCAGAAACAAAATGCTTTGATTTTAGTGGTTTATTGATGCTGCAGAACCAAGAATATTTTGTTTTAGCCCTCAGAACCCCAGTGTATGTATATTTATATCATTTATTATACTAGATTGTCTCATGGTGTGTGAAGTGAATCACAACAGCGCAGTTAAGAGATTACCATTTTGAGAGAGTTTACATTGTTTTGATATTTATATTTAGTCCAAATGGCACAAGGTTTGCCAATCATAACTGTATCCATGGTAATGGTACACAATTATTTCATCCTATTATATTTCATTACAATCATGTGATCATACATACAAGGCCATTACTGAAAACAAAAGTTCATCATGACAATACTTATTAAGGGCATATATGCAATAATGAAGTGCCCCCAATGAGTATATCTATCAATGTAGGTCTCACAGTGGTACTACAGCCAGACATAGCATGTTATTAATTGTTTTCAGTGTGATGACTGATTGGAAAGAACAATACTTGGCTTCCATGCGGATCATCTCAATACTGAATAATTCATTTTTTTATGTATGCTGTATTTGCTTCATATTGATTTATGGTTTAAGATCAACTTAAATTTTAGTTCAATAATAATTGTATTGAATGTTCTCTTAAAAAAAAAGAATTCAATAAGGGGGTAAATTATATTCGGATGAAAAATAAGCTATAAAGTTTTGATTTGGTCTCTGATATCAATTGTGTCATGCAGTTCCTTTGTATTTGGGTGTGGAAAGATGTGAAGAAAGAAAGAAAGTGAAATTGCTGCTAAGAACTCTATTAATTTAACATATTGAAATATGTGTTAAAATGGTTTGCTTTCATGCTTTTTTTACACCTGTGAAGAGATGTTCACTATAAGTAAAAAATCATTAACAAAGGCTCAAAAATTGCATCATTTACAAAATTTGTATGTATTAAACTAATTGTGACAAGTAGTTTATGTGAGTACATAGTAAGTATGTGTAGCACTGTGCTTGTGTGAGGCTGTTATGTCAGGGGTAGTGGAGAGGTAATGTCTGTGTGTAGGGCGTCAATGTCTCTAGCTGCTGGGGCAAAACATGTTCTGTGCCTTTGTTTAAAATCATCACATTTGTGATGGGGTTTCATTTAAAGATGCTCAACTAGCATGCATACAAATTTATTATTTCATGAAGGTTGGATATACTGATATGTTCTATGATATTAGTGATGGTGATATGAGTTTGTATCTTCACTCAATCTCATTAAGATTAGATCTAAGTTCTCGCTGCTGCTAAACAAAGATCTGAGGACATCCCGTTACGGATCACGTCAGACTGACCTTTCGCGAACTTTGACCGACCACTGAAATGACTAACAAGAAGTTGTCAGCAGCCAATTAGAAAGCAGCTTTCTCTTGCTTTACGGCACTCATTTCAACCTGGTAACTTCAATTTCTACGCTTGAAAAATATGTTGACACAGTTCTCCATTAAAATTTTGAAAACTGAACGAACAAACATTCAGGAATGTCTGATACATGATTGCGATTGTATGGCAGTACTTCCCACATACTGTGCAACGCCTCCGTTCAAATGTTTATCCCACGGAAGTGAGAGATAGACGATAATTTTGACAGAATCACTCACATGGGACGTAACTGTCATTCGAAATACCCCGTGTTAACGTTTTTGAGGTTGCATGATTAGAAAATGCATTCCGACTGTCACTTTCATGATCTGGTAATTGTGCTTTTATTGGTCAGATGAAAGGTCGTTCTGACATGACCCGTAATGGGATGTCCTCAAATCTTTGCCTAGTGATAGGGAGAACTAAGATCTGCTTTTAATGAGATTGTATGGACACTGTACAAGGCACTATCCACACTTGTTTACGGGGATATTAGCATCAGAGAGTGTCCTGTTCCTCATACAGTGTGATGATAGATACTGATATTAACCAGCACATTAACAACATACTCCAATGTGTTTGATACAACTTGTATACATAAATACAGTCACAGCTACCCTGTTATTGGTGTATATTTTGGAGGTTCAGGTATAGCAGTTGTTAGCAGGGGTGGTTGATCTGGGGAAAGGGAGGCACATACACAAGATAGCATAGCATACCAGTGGAACAGTTGGACCATCCATTTTCATTGTAACCCTTTTTCCCCGATTCTGCAAATCATGTGCAAGCCTCAGCTCTGTTTAATACCTCAAGATATCTACAGCTTGATGCATCACTGTCTGTGCTGGGCTCATTTAGTCCTACAGTGCATATAGTGCATATAGTCGACCTGCTTTGTACTGAGACATCACCACATGCTATGCAAGCCAACTGCTGGTAGCTCTAGGTGCCTGCATCATCAGAAAGTACATGTAACACACACTGACAAATCACTTCTGCAGGCTAATTCTTAATGCAAACTGATAGAATATCTCTGTGAAAGTTGCTAATGACACGCATTATATCATATTGATGATGAGCATTATTTAATTATTATGTAAATTTTCATCACCATTTTTGCAAAAACAGATTGAGGTGCCCTTATTATTCTTGGGTTGTGTTAAAATGCCTAGATGACTAGAACTTTGTCTTGGAGAGGAATAGCTTGGACTAGTGAAGAAATGTCCACACACGGTGCTGAGTGTTATATTACCAAAGAGAGGGTGAATGCTTTTGATACAAATTTTGATTTAGAATCAGTGACATGTTATTTTGTGGTACTTCTGTAGGATATACCTACGAGTTTTTTCAAATGGAACAAAAGAATAGGATTACTTGAATGATGATTATTCTGCTTTAGGTGTTAATCACTGTCTTTGATAAAATGCATGTCAGAGAAGTGTTGTTTTATTAATACAACAATGGTATGTCAGTTTTCATAGATTTTACATGCTTTGGAAGTAGAAAAATATTGATTGTATTATTTCAGCCATGATGTGCTGAAGGTTGTCATCCTTGCAGTATGTAATTCACCATCATCATAGCTTGTTCAGTTTTGCCTTTTGTATTCAACAAGTATCCATTCATCCCCTAAGTATGTATATTTATAATTCTGAAGCATTTTCTTGTCAGTTAGACTCTTGTTGTTGGTATATAGTTCCCAAATCTGATACAATGTTGTAACATTCATAAGTGGCTTTTTGTTATGTTTATTTAGTAAAGCAAAACAATCATTGTTTATGCCAGTATTTATATGGCCATTGTACAAGAATCTGCAATAAGCTACTATGGTTTTCATTTTGTGGTGTGCAGCGATGTAACCTTGTGATGACTGAATGTGTGTGTATATTGTTCCAGTCACTGGCTGTACTCAATTCATGTGTTGTGCGGGAACCCTGGCTGCATGTGCCCCTGCAGTGACCAGGCCAGGCATATATGTAAATAACGGACGTAGAATCAGCTGGTCAGCTTCCTGGTGGCCACACACTGGCGATAGCCTTGTGTAGCTCTCATATCATGGACACGTTGTGGTGAACGTGACACATAGCTTGAGGATACTGACATACTGAAACAAGAGTTGTGTAAATGTAAGGGCATTAATTCATTGGAGATTAGTAACATGTTCATTGCAGGGATCATATTGATCTGTCATTTGAATGAGAATCTTAAATGATATATGTTTAATAATAAAACAAAAATCTTGTAATTACTTATTTGAGAACTGTTTGTATTAGAAAGTAAACTTTGGCAGGTGTACAGTTAAAGAAAACCCTGAAATAAAACTAAATTGTTAGCTTCAAAGTGTTTGAAAAATGAACAAGATACATGACTGAATTAACATAGCCATTTTGATGAGCTGTTGAAGCATGTGCAGACTATTGTTGTAGCTGTTGTGACTTTCTCCAAGTCGGTGATGTAGTGTTGTACATTGTGTACGTCTCTGGAGGAGCAGCAGGGCTCACTCTGCTGTACCACCGCCATGTGTTCAGACTCCATACCCTAGTGTTCTGTAGATGTCTCAGTATACGTATTCCATGGCCATAGATGATTGGAACTGAATGGAAATACGCTGCTGATGTCTCTCATACTTAACATGTGTTTCATGCAAATATTACAGAATATCTTTTTTCACGGAAATCACAGAATAGTTGCTTTGGATAATTATTACAAAACATTTATCATCAATTTTAAATTTGATTAATAACTTTTTGAAATTTGTTATTAAATGTTCAGTTGTCTGTTTTTATGATTTGAAATGTTATAGTTTCTGTACATGGAGTTCCATGTAGGTTGTTTACTAGTTAGATTATTTGTAGTTTGCAGGTTCATTATTAGCAGAGAGACCATCAGTGCTGTTTCCTGGAAATAATGCTTCTGAAATATCAATAAATTTTGAGAATTTCCATCCAACTACTTCTTTGTTGTTGTTTTTTTGTTGCTGAACTACAGATGATGATGATGGTGATGATGCATACGTGTCGGAGCACCATCCCATCAATGTGTTCTCGTGGTGTACAGCTAAGGTACCACAACATATCCAACTTCAGCACTGGTTTTGTTCCAGGTACCCACTCTACTGTTTCAATGGGTCCTTTAATAAATGTATGGGTACAACAAATAATATAGAATACAGACCCGGTACCTAAAATGTAAGCCATGGCAAGTTCAAAACAAAACTAGCCAAGGATTTCATTCCATCTGAATCCCTGGGGGTAGACATTCAGCACAAAGAGAGCTTCACATCACATACACTCGCACCAATGGCATCATGATACAGTTACCAAGGAGATAGTGACAGAATAACAGGTACACATCACTGATATCGTAGTAGCTGACAGAGACACTCTCACACATGGACTTGACTGGGAGAACATAAATACATAACATCGGAAAAAAACTTTTCCATAATCATAAGAATTCTGTATTGTGTGATGCCAACTTTATGATGAGCACATGTGTTTATGAAACACTGTGATGATACCAGGTGTTTGCGAAAAGGTGGTGTCCTGCCACAAACACATGGAAAGGCATGTCAAGTATTCACCAGGAAAAAATATGGGAACGTATGATACAAATCAAAATTGGACATCATTTTGGTAACTGATGTATCAGATTTGGAAATATCCATACTTTGGGGCAAAGCTTTGCCAAGGCCTTGAAAATTCTTGAGGTACAATCAAGCAAACCATTTTGATGATTTCAAATAGTGTTGTACGACTCATGCTCAGAAGTTGTTTGATCAAGGTTGCAACATTCAAGGCCTCAGAAAAGCTTTCAGAAAGTTTATGGTGAGGCATGATACGCCCACCTTTTCGTGAACACCTGGTATCTTCACTGTTTGATTGAGATTCATAAACACATGCTTATGATAAAGTCGGAATCGCGCAATCGACTGTTTGGGCAGGGATTTCTTATGCATATGGAAAAGGGTTGTTGCCTTTATTGAATGCTGAGCAAGAGTCGTATGACGCTCCTTCAAATCTTCGTTGAACGCACGCTCAATTGTACCTCAAAGGTTGTGAAATCTAGACGCCAAAGTTTGGAGCTGCTGGAACATTGCTCGACGTAAAGGGAACGATGAAGTCATCCCTGTTGTTTTGGTAACTATCATTCTTTATGCGTAGGTCGTCATATGAAACAGACGAGGCGGCCTCACTGGTTTCTTTTGTGTCTGACGCAGGTGTGCAAGTCAGTGGAAGGGATTGGCTATGTTACTTTTATTGATTATACTTCTTGTCCAAATTCACTTTCATTTACGCAAATCCAAGGTGGCACTGATTTGCATTAAGAAATAGATCAACAAGGAGGGAAGCACAATTGGTGTCCACGGGGATGCCTTCTTACGTAACTGTCCTATTCACAAGTTTCAAAATGTGGTCTATGAAGAAGTTCAGCACCTCGCATAGTGATTTCTCAGTAAACTTCAGATGAAGACAGTGATATCACGTGTCTGGTCACGCGATTAGTGACAAATGCCACCCATAACTGTGGAAGACAAGACAATGACAATGAATGTAAATAAAGCATATATATACTACTTCATAAATCATTCTTATCGTTATTAAAAATCGAGGTGCCTCACACTACCTCTTTCGTGTAATGGATCCTAAATAATCCTAATTTCATTATCCTATTAAGAGACACTGTAGTGGATATATTAAAACTTGTTCTCTTAATTTATATTCATATTTGTTTTTAAATTGTTTTATTCATGTTGTCCATTGTACAACCTTCTTAATAATGTCTCTCCAGTAACACAAATGCGTCTTTCCTGTAACTAACAATCAACGTCTTAACACTATTTTAGATAAAACAGGAGTACTGCTGTGCGGCGTCAGGCAATAAATACATTTTTATGTAAACTGCGTGAATTGGCGGGTGCTACCGGTGGGGCAGGACATGCTTACCCTTTTCGCGAACACCTGGTGTCGTCACTGATTTTCAGTGTTCCATACATATAATTTGACAGCTATTTTGTCTTTTACCCCAAATGGAATCTGTTTCAGCGGATGATTTAGACTGGATAATCTCTTGCATTGACACTGTATGTATATGGCAACATCATTGTTAAAAATGTTGTAGATGAATAACATAGCATACAGGTGTCCACATCATATGCCAGAATAAGACTGGAAGGCCTTGAGAAGGACATTAAACGCATTCTACGGTATTGGAAGACCCTGCTTGGGTAAAAGGACAACAAAAAGTAACAAATATATCCTATTGAAACAATCTTGCAACAAATATTCTTGTTTGAATAGAATGTATGATTCACGGGATACCTCCTTACATAGAACACGTTGACATCTTCACTTAATTAATAAAGAACGTTACAGGAAAGACATGTATTTATGCACTACTTATTTTAAATAGATCTATATAGACTTACAAGACAATTTTCACTTTGGGCACACATCTCTATGGCGTATCGTGCCTTTTGGGAAAATAAAGTTTAATAATTTTGAGAATTTTTTTGTGTGCAAAATATCTGCTTTTTTAAGGGCCCCTATTTTATGGATCAATTCAGTGGACACTGTTAGACTTTGTTCCTGAAACGGGCAGATTTGAGATTATACAAATAGCCTGTAGATCCATAAGTAAGGAAGTGACTGATCAGTTTCTCATCTCCTTGTTAATTGAATGAGTACTCAATTGTCCAGAAACGAGATTGTGTTAACTTGCGGTTTTAAATCATAGGATTGAAACATATTGGTTAATCATGTCATTTACATAAATCACTGTAACTTGTTTCAAATAATTTCATCTGTTGGGCAAAAATAGTCCTCTCTCTTGGTGGCCCTGAAACACCAACCATACCCATTCTCCAGGAATTAGGTTGGCCGTCTGTGGAACTATGACGATATCATATAATGATGGTATTTGAAACTGTTAGATTGCTATTTGATACTGCTGAAAAGTGTGTAAGCAGTCAAAGCAGTGTTTGGGGAGGTATATCAATCGTGCTAAGATTGGTAATTTGCTTGGGCGTGGTCCTTCTTTATGAGGTCGGGCGCATTGCTTTTGAAGACAACTTGTCAAAATTGGTCGGCAGAATGTAGCAAGAGCCATACTAACTGAGATTCTGTTCCCTGAAAATGCAGGAGCAATAAGTTGTCCTCCGTTTTTAGCCCCCTTACCAAAGTTAATCAGCTTTCATAACGAGAATCTATGTCAAAGTTGACAAGGAACCTTATGGATAACAACTTCTTTATTACACTGTAATTGTGACATTTCGGTATAGATTCTTATACCGTTGCCAAGCAAGCCCCAAACCTGACTCGAGCTGAGAGACAAGCTCTCCTAGAACTGCGAGATGACAAAACTATCAAGGTCGCCCCTGCCTAGTGGTGAAAGCGTTCGCTCGTCACGCCGAAGACCCGGATTCGATTCCCGATATGGGTACAATGTGTGAAGCCCATTTCTGATGTCCCCCGCCGTGATATTGCTGGAATATTGCTAAAGGCGGCGTAAACCCATATTCACTCACTCACCACCTACTTCAAGATCAAGAACGACCCAACTACTAAACATCTACGCCAACATAAAACTCTCCTCAAACAACTTAAAGACAACTTTAATATTAGCCAAGTACTTCACAACAAACACTCCATCAACCACCCCATCCAATACCAGAGCCACTATCAAATCCACAGGAACCCTCCTACAGCCCATCTTCCTGTGTGTTCCAGAGATACTGCATTCTTTAACACTGCCCAACACCTAGCCAAAATCCTCCTTGCTTCCTTAGGTAAATCAGCTGACTATTTCATCTGAAACTCCACCGACTTCAATGCCCTCTTATAGCCAACGTCCGAATCACTACCAAACCCCAAGAACCCAAAAGTGTAGTGTATAAAATTGACTGTGTCTGTGGACAATCCTACGAAGGTGAAACATCCCGCCCCATCAACACCATAATCAAAGAGCACAAACTTTCAACCGTCAAATCTGAGAGAAAATCAGCCATCTCATATCAGCAACGGCCTCAATCAAAACTTCATTTGGAAAAACATCCAAATCGTCTCCAACAACCTCCATGACTTTACTCAAAGGAAACTAGCGGAAGCTGTCCAGATTGGCGCCACAATTGGAAGTTTTTATTCATGTATGAGAGGCCATAGGCCCATGTACATTACAGTTATATATAGTAACATACAATTGAGGCAATTTACACAGTTCTTAGGTATAATATTAGGTAATAAGTAATAAGTAATAGAATCTCTGAGGTCAACAGCCTGTTCACCCATCTCAAGCTTAGTTAGATTTACGTTTCCACAATAACATGTAATCAGCAACAAGTCAAAATCCAAATCGTTTATATGGAGCAGCACACGTACAGAGTACGGCTCCAGCAGTCACGCATGGGTACAATGTGTGAAGCCCATCTGTGCTGCTCCCCGCCGTGATATTGCTGGAATATTGCTAAAAGCGGCGTAAAACCCAACTCACGCACTCACTCGCGAATTAAGGTAACCGTTGCATAATTCTCTTATTTACTTTTGATGCTATCCCTAAACTGATGGAGCAGGTGGTTGATTTAGAGTTACCTCCGCTTGTGCTTTGAATTACCTCCCCGCATTGACTTTGGACTGTTGCAGTGGGTTCAACTGTCATCGCTAGTGATCGCTCGCTATAGTGTGTGAGTATTAAAGAAACGATACCAAAATACATTATCCCTACATTCCTATGTACATGTACCATATACAGTGTGTTACAAGTTATACATATTGTCATGGCATGTGCGTTGCACCGACTCAGTCTACAACACGATGTGGCAGGCAGCAGAGTGCCTCTTATGCAACGTTCATTTCTGCTTCTGTATGAGTCTTCGGTAATAAAACTCAGAGGTTTACTTTTGATTTTGTTCAACCAAATCGACAAATGATCTATGTTACGTATATGTATACACTGTAGTGTGATATGCATGAATTTCATATTCTTATTTTGTGGAACAAAGTGAGCTATTTAGAATTTATTCTGTGATTACAAGATATATAGGCTACGTAAATATGCAAGTCACGGCATGGTGTACCCGGCCTCAGTGATATAGCTGCCTACAGCTGAAACAACATCCGCTCACCCAATAAACAGGGCAAAATATGTTGATTTTGACGAACCCAAGTTATCACTGCCAAAATACCTATAACATTCTTACCATTCTAGTGTGAGTGAGTCTGTGTTGGGGTGGGGTGGGGGGGGGGGGGGGGGGGGGGGGGGGGGGGGCAGACATGTCAGGTTGGTACCCGAGTCCCAGTAATTTCATAACGAGACAAATATAAACAACAGCACCTAGTATAACAATATCTATTATTATTGAAATGAGTTTTGCATGGAACTTATTTCGCAGCATTTTCATGGGGATGAATGGCTATCAATGTTTGGAAAGATTGTTGTTCACAATAATACAGGAGAAATACAGTAATCGATAGAACTAGCCATTGTTGGAATGAAATTAAATCTTTTTAGAGCAGACATTTAATAATACTACATGTACATAGACTGCTTATTTTGATGAAATTGGAAGAAACTAGAATTAAGTTTGAGCCAATGTTTAATACCGTAATTAAATTTTTGTTGTGTTCATTGAAATTCCTGCTGACAATTATGGCAATTCAGGATTGTGTGTATAACATGAAAGTGTATCAGTAAACTAACATGCATTATAGGACATGATAATTATTGTGACTTCCCTGTGGGGTTCTCGGGAGAGAATAGGTTGTATGAAGTGACCAAATGGGGGGTCAGGCTCAGTGACTTGCTTGAATTGGTGTCTTCATATCCTCATAGCAGTGATCATTGTTCAAAATAATGATCATTGGATTGTCTGGCCCAGGCTCAGCTATTTACAGGCCACTTGTCATTACTTCGGCAGATTCGCAAACTTACCATGGAATCATTGTATATAAATTACCTGCAGCCATTAACAAAATCATTATTAGTATTATACATATTATCTGAATCACTTAAGATTAAGTTATATAAAACTAGATTCTTTGCTCTGCTTGGCTTCTAAAGATCCATGCTGACAATGAAGACCCTAGCTGGCAAAGTGTGTATTGTGACCGGGGCTACACGTGGAATTGGGCGTGGCATCGCTCTACAGTTGGGTGAGGCTGGAGCCACCGTGTATATCACAGGTGAGCGTAACTCCACTGGTTCAGCATGCCTATCTACTCACTGTACAAAAATTCATTAAGATGCAGCCAGATTCGCTTGGATTCATGGCACCCTCAATGTGTGATGGACCTCCTCAGTAGGTGCTGTGTGATGGACCTCCTTAGGTGCTGTGTGATGGACCTCCTCAGTAGGTGCTGTGTGATGGACCTCCTCAGTAGGTGTTGTGTGATGGACCTCCTCAGTAGGTGCTGTGTGATGGACCTCCTCAGTAGGTGTTGTGTGATGGACCTCCTCAGTAGGTGTTGTGTGATGGACCTCCTCAGTAGGTGCTGTGTGATGGACCTCCTCAGTAGGTGCTGTGTGATGGACCTCCTCAGTAGCTGTTGTGTGATGGACCTCCTCAGTAGGTGCTGTGTGATGGACCTCCTCAGTAGGTGTTGTGTGATGGACCTCCTCAGTAGGTGTTGTGTGATGGACCTCCTCAGTAGCTGTTGTGTGATGGACCTCCTCAGTAGGTGCTGGGTGATGGACCTCCTCAGTAGGTGCTGGGTGATGGACCTCCTCAGTAGGTGCTGGGTGATGGACCTCCTCAGTAGGTGCTGTGTGATGGACCTCCTCAGTAGGTGTTGTGTGATGGACCTCCTCAGTAGCTGTTGTGTGATGGACCTCCTCAGTAGGTGCTGTGTGATGGACCTCCTCAGTAGGTGTTGTGTGATGGACCTCCCCAGTAGTGCTGTGTGATGGAGCTCCTCAGTAGCTGTTGTGTGATGGACCTCCCCAGTAGGTGTTGTGTGATGGACCTCCTCAGTAGGTGCTGTGTGATGGACCTCCCCAGTAGGTGTTGTGTGATGGACCTCCTCAGTAGGTGCTGTGTGATGGACCTCCCCAGTAGGTGTTGTGTGATGGACCTCCCCAGTAGGTGTTGTGTGATGGACCTCCTCAGTAGGTGCTGTGTGATGGACCTCCCCAGTAGGTGTTGTGTGATGGACCTCCCCAGTAGGTGTTGTGTGATGGACCTCCTCAGTAGGTGCTGTGTGATGGACCTCCTCAGTAGGTGTTGTGTGATGGACCTCCCCAGTAGGTGTTGTGTGATGGACCTCCTCAGTAGGTTTTTTGTGATGGAGCTCCTCAGTAGGTGCTGTGTGATGGACCTCCTCAGTAGGTTTTTTGTGATGGACCTCCTAAGTAGGTTTTTTGTGATGGACCTCCTCAGTAGGTGCTGTGTGATGGACCTCCTTAGTAGGTGCTGTGTGATGGACCTCCTCAGTAGTGTTGTGTGACATAGGAATTATTTTCCCAGGGTATGTATATGCCATGATGTGTGTGCAAATTGTAAACCTGTTGTTTTCCAAGACCAATATTTTGCCATTGACCAGGCCGGACACTAACAACCCCTAAAGATGCTGATGTGGCGGGCAGCCTTACAGATACCGCCACTGAGGTAGGTAACTGATGCCCCTGGAAGACACACCATCACTAGTATCATGTACACAGATTTTATTTGAATTTTATGATGAATTTGTAGTATGTAAGTGGGGAAATCGTTTATTTAATTTCTTGTACTTTACTTTCCTTAGTAGTTGTTGCATCTTGTGAAGTTGTCTCCATTCAAGTCAAGTTCTGGAAGTAAGCGTGTTAATGAGTTAAAGTTAACATTGCATTTACTTTATTTCTGTCTAATACAGATGGGGACAAGTAAAGGTATGTCTGAATGTTTTGTTTTCAGACTGGGAGTGATGGTGGTATGTTAGGATTTTTGGAGCTTTGAGCATGTTTGAGGAACCATTGGTGAATGAGTTGCTTTTTATCCCCTGCCCCAATGAAGTTGGCAGGGGATATAGAAATGGTTCCGTCCGTGCGTGCGTGTGCGTGTGTGTGTGTGCGCGTGTGTGTGTGCGTTCTGAAATCGTTTCCGGAGCATAACTCAGAAACCGTTAAATATTTCTCTACGAAACTTTGCATGTCTATCAGACTCATGCTGAGCTGGTGCCTTTTGCTATTTTGGAGTTTTATAAATTTTTATTTTTTATGTTTCCATGGCAACAAGTTGGACTTAGGTTCTATAAGGGTGCTGTTCGTTTCCGGAGCGTAACTCAAAAACTGTTAAATAATTTCTTACAAAACTTTGCATGTTTACCAGACACATACTGAACTGGTGCCTTTTGCTATTTAGAGTTTTATAAATTTTTATTTTTTACGTTTCCATGGCAACAAGTTGGACTTAGGTTCTATAAGGGTGGTGTTCGTTTCCGGAGCGTAACTCAAAAACCATTTAATACTTTCTTACAAAACTTTGCATGTTTACCAGACACATACTGAACTCGTGCCTTTTGCTATTTAGGAGTTTTATAAATTTTTATTTTTTACGTTTACATGGCAACAAGTTGGACTTAGGTTCTATAGGTTAGAGTTTATTTTACGGAGCATAACTCAAAACCCATTCAATACTTTCCAACAAAAACTGTGCATGTTTACCAGACATATACTGGACTGGTGCCTCTTGCTATTAAGGAATTTTAGAAATTTTTATTTTTCACGTTTCCATGGCAATAAGTTGGACTTAGGTTCTACAGGGGTGGTGTTCGTTTCCAGAGTGTAACTCAAAAACCGTTAAATACTTTCTTACAAAACTTTGCATGTCTACCAGGCACACACTGAACTGGTGCCTTTTGATATATAGCACTTTTAGAAATTTTTATTGTTTATGTTTCCATGACAACAAGTTGGATTTAAGTTTTAATATAGGATTGGTTTACTTAAGTAGTATAAAAAATAAACTGTTAAATATTTCCTTGCCAAACATTGCATGTCTATATATAAAGCGCATACTGAACTAGTGCCATTTGATATTAAGGAGTTTTAGAAATGTTTATTTTAGAATTTCCATTGCAGCTATTTTGACATGGGCTAAGAGATATGTTGGGTCAGTTACCTGGTTTGGGACCATAACGTGTTAAAATGGGCGGGGGATATAGATGACTTTGTCAACTATACACTTGTTTCGTGTTTGAAAACCTTCCAGTTTCGGTAATGAGATCTCATTTCATTTCACAGTTCATATAATATTGTGATTCAGTAATCATGTTGGAGTAATCTCCCCTGCCAGGTCAAGGCACGAGGAGGCAAGTGCATCCTGGTGCAGTGTGACCACTCGAAGGATGAGGATGTGGAAAAGCTGTTTGAGCGTGTAGCTAGAGAACAGGAGGGTCAGTTGGATGTTCTGGTCAACAACGCCTATGCTGCCGTCAATGTGAGCCATGCCTGCACTTGATATGTTGAAAACCTGATTAATTTGGTGTTTTGTCTCTCACTTGTATGTTGTGTAGATTATTAGAAAAAGTTTTAAACTCACTTAGTCTGAAACTTTGATTTTCATGAAAGGATTTCTTTTGTAATGACATTTCAGACATTGTGAGAAGTATATATAGTGTTCCCTTACTTCCGTTGATAATCCAACATGCCACACTAAGGCTGCAAATGAAATCTGAACACCCCCTAACCCCCCCCCCCAATGTACAATGAGATTTGTTTTTTGAGTCTTTTAAAGCTTTGATCGCGCAGGACATGTTGTTTCCTCTGTGAACACTGTGTGTGGTCATCTGTTTGGCTCTAGGACATTGCCAAGAACTTCAACGTACCATTCTGGGAGCAGGCAGAAGACATGTGGGACAGAGTGAACAATGTGGGACTCCGGTCAGTCGAGTGTGTGTTCAGTAACAATAGTGATAACAATGATGTATCTATCTTCTGACACTAAATCTTAACTTGACAAAGATTTCTCTTAATCTATGTCACTACTCACATACATGACAGATAGAACTGCCAGAGCCCTGGTCTACTGCCCACCCTATACATGTCTGCTATAGAGAGGTCTGACTGTAACACTGGTCAATCCCATCCACTCTGTACATCCCTGATATAGAGAGGTCTGACTGTAACACTGGTCAATACCATCCACTCTCTACATCCCTGATATAGAGAGGTTTGACTGTAACACTGGTCAATACCATCCACTCTCTACATCCCTGATATAGAGAGGTTTGACTGTAACACTGGTCAATCCCATCCACTCTGTACATCCCTGATATAGAGAGGTTTGACTGTAACACTGGTCAATACCATCCACTCTGTACATCCCTGATATAGAGAGGCCTCACTGTTCGATTGACTGACTGTTTTCCCATCAGGAACCACTACATCTGTTCTGTGCTGGCGTCTCGGATGATGGTACCACGTAAACAGGGCCTCATCATAAACGTATCTTCAATTGGAGGACTGTCGTACCTGTTCAATGTGCCGTACGGTGTTGGCAAGGAAGCTGTGAGTCAACCAGTCTATGTCCTCATTACCTTCTTTTGTGGCACTGCTTCCAAATTTTGTTGGCTTCTGATTACGTTAAAGCTAACATTCCAATTCCACTAGTTTTCAATTGATATGATTGCAGTGATAAACTGTGTGTGTTTAGCATGTTGAGTTCCAGCGTGTGATACACTGTGACCGAATGGCCAAAGATTGCTAGTTTTCAATTGATAAGATTGCCATGATAAACTGTGTGTGTTTAGCATGTTGAGTTCCAGCGTGTGATACACTGTGACCGAATGGCCAAAGATTGCTAGTTTTCAATTGATAAGATTGCCATGATAATCTGTGTGTGTTTAGCATGTTGAGTTCCAGCGTGTGATACACTGTGACCGAATGGCCAAAGATTGCTAGTTTTCAATTGATAAGATTGCCATGATAAACTGTGTGTGTTTAGCATGTTGAGTTCCAGCGTGTGATACACTGTGACCGAATGGCCAAAGATTGCTAGTTTTCAATTGATAAGATTGCCATGATAAACTGTGTGTGTTTAGCATGTTGAGTTCCAGCGTGTGATACACTGTGACCGAATGGCCAAAGATTGCTAGTTTTCAATTGATAAGATTGCCATGATAAACTGTGTGTGTTTAGCATGTTGAGTTCCAGCGTGTGATACACTGTGACCGAATGGCCAAAGATTGCTAGTTTTCAATTGATAAGATTGCCATGATAAACTGTGTGTGTTTAGCATGTTGAGTTCCAGCGTGTGATACACTGTGACCGAATGGCCAAAGATTGCTAGTTTTCAATTGATAAGATTGCCATGATAAACTGTGTGTGTTTAGCATGTTGAGTTCCAGTGTTTGATTCAGTGTGACCGAATGGCCAAAGATTGCTAGTTTTCAATTGATAAGATTGCCATGATAAACTGTGTGTGTTTAGCATGTTGAGTTCCAGTGTTTGATTCAGTGTGACCGAATGGCCAAAGATTGCTAGTTTCCAATTGATAAGATTGCCATGATAAACTGTGTGTGTTTAGCATGTTGAGTTCCAGTGTTTGATTCAGTGTGACCGGATGGCCAAAGACTGCTCGGTGGAGCTGAAGAAACACAACGTGGCCTATGCGAGTCTGTGGCCAGGGGCAGTAAAGACAGAGACCGTCACACGTTACTTGGATGAAGAATCCATGTTTGTAAGTGTTTCATAGCAGTATCCTTGTCTTCGTACCAGATGTGTTGTAATCCATGTATTATTCTAAGCCAAGGAACAGTGTATGAAACGGCTGTCATGTATAACTGTAGTTGCACTAAAGCAATATTCTGCAGCGACCATATCCGGCCCAACATGAAGATAGATGACATCAAGTCCCGCAGTTCAGGGAAAGCTGGAAGTGTCAGTGATCTGCAGTCACGGTATACTAGAGATGGATCTAGGAACTTTTGTAATAATTTCAAATATATCTTCAAGAGTTCATAATGAGACAGGTTCATGTACATGTTTTCCTTGAGTGGTACAAGGACATTTAATGAATGATACTATTGATAGGCTATCACATTCCAGGGGTTAAAGGGAAGCTGGTATCTCCCCTTTGATAACTGTGCAAGGACTGAAGAAAGCTTAGATTTTTCCCTGGGAGACACTTGGCTCCGGGCAATATTTTTCTACATGCTATTTCAAACTTTAAGGAACCACATTGGTTTTGGCTTACAAAAACTTAATATTACAGAAATTTAATAATAAGACAAGATTGAAAATATTCCAATGTTCTAATGTGTCTCAACAAACTTTGAAAATTTGCTTCAATAAAGACGATTCATTCAACAATTACCCTTGTTGAAGACCATCATTCGCTCAGCCAATTACCTGAAATAATACTATTGCTGCCTTTCCGCTTTATTCCAGTGTTTATGCCCACCAACATCTGCGTCTACAGCCTTGTAGGACTGCTGGCAGTAATAGCCATAGCTGTGTCATTCATGGCAGCATTCTGTCACGGGCAGTTTGCCTTAGAGATGACTCTTGAAAACATGTTGAAATATTCTTCTATGATTTGAACATGACACCATTTTTAAAGCAAACTGAGAAATGTGCACATGACCAAAAATACATAAACTTGTAGTATTACAGACGATAGCAAGACAGTATCAGAAGCAAGACAGTATCACTGTAAGGAATTACACACAATGTTGTTACAGACAAGGGATGTTTTACTCCAGTCTTTTGCAATGTGTGAAATATTTTAATTGCCAAGCTAATTTTATTAAATGGGAACCAACTGGCAACCAGGCAATAAATACAGGTCGCAAAATTGTTATTGAGGTTGCAATTGTGACGAAATTGGTCGCTACTTGACGGGCTGAAAGTTCCAGAGCCCTATTGACATTCTGATTGGTATAAGAGGAAGAAATGCTTCTGAAATATTTGGAACTGATGGTCACAGGGTACAACTGACTGTGCAGAGTTGTGTCACTTAGATGAGCAGAAGGCAGTGGGTTTGAACCCCAGAGTTGACCATATTATGATCCCTGGTTTGTCACCACCATGTCCATGCTGTTTAGTTTCATAAAGTCGTAAACTGTATGTTGCTAGACTTTCCTTCCACATTTAAGTGTTAAAACTTCTTATGATACAAACAGAATAGAAAGTGATTGGAAACTCTCAGCAAGGCAGTTGGATTCCAATATGATTGTACAAAGGAAACGATTTTATGGGGAAAAAAAAGAGTAACTGTGTATATGAAGTGTACAACTGAAATGCCTACTGTAATGAGCTTGAAGTTGCAGGTTCCGGTCTGAGTTACTGAGTATAGCCGGCTGTTTAATACTCAGTAGCTGGGTCTTCCATCATCTTCAGTAATAGGCACATCTCAGGACAAAGTTTGTGTTTATTCAGAGCAAATTCCAAGAGACTTTCAAGAATGGGGAGACTGTGGAATATGCCGGCAAATGTGTTGTCAGTCTGGCTACAGGTGAGGCTGTGCTCAGTTTGTCCCAGTACAGGGAGTTCTCTCTGCCTTACTTTGTAATTGAAGAAAAGCATTTGAATCAGTTTGATGTTATTACAAAATATTCAATTTTCGTTATGTAACTATACCTTGGTTTCTAGAAGAGCACAAATTGTTACTTTATCTCATAATTGTGGATAAAAGTAATTTACGGTATCTGTGGCCTCACAGTAACAACATGTCCCTGGTCTCACAGTAACAGCATGTCCCTGATCTCACAGTAACATGTCCCTGGTCTCACAATAACATGTCCCTGGTCTCGCAGTAACATGTCCCTAGTCTCACTGTAACATGTCCCTGGTCTCACTGTAATATGTTCCTGGTCTCACAGTAACATGTCCCTGGTCTCACAGTAACTACATGTCCCTGGTCTCGCTGTAACATGTCCCTGGTCTCACAGTAACATGTCCCTAGTCTCACTGTAATATGTTCCTGGTCTCACAGTAACATGTCCCTAGTCTCACTGAAATATGTCCCTGGTCTCACAGTAACATGTCCCTAGTCTCACTGTAATATGTTCCTGATCTCACAGTAACATGTCCCTGGTCTCACTGTAATATGTTCCTGGTCTCACAGTAACATGTCCCTGGTCTCACAGTAACTACATGTCCCTGGTCTCACAATAACATGTCCCTGGTCTCGCAGTAACATGTCCCTAGTCTCACTGTAACATGTCCCTGGTCTCACTGTAATATGTTCCTGGTCTCACAGTAACATCATGTCCCTGGTCTCACAGTAACTACATGTCTCTGGTCTCACTGTAACATGTCCCTGGTCTCACTGTAACATGTCCCTGGTCTCACAGTAACATCATGTCCCTGGTCTCACAGTAACTACATGTCTCTGGTCTCACTGTAACATGTCCCTGGTCTCACAGTAACTACATGTCCCTGGTCTCACAGTAACAACATGCCTCTGGTCTCACAGTAACATCATGTCCCTGGTCTCACAGTAACTACATGTCCCTGGTCTCACAGTAACAACATGTCCCTGGTCTCACTGTAACATGTCCCTGGTCTCACTGTAACATGTCCCTGGTCTCACAGTAACATGTCCCTAGTCTCACTGTAATATGTCCCTGGTCTCACAGTAACTACATGTCCCTGGTCTCACAGTAACAACATGTCCCTGGTCTCACAGTAACATCATGTCCCTGGTCTCACAGTAACTACATGTCTCTGGTCTCACTGTAACATGTCCCTGGTCTCACAGTAACTACATGTCCCTGGTCTCACAGTAACAACATGTCCCTGGTCTCACAGTAACAACATGTCCCTGGTCTCACTGTAACATATCCCTGGTCTCACAGTAACTACATGTCCCTGGTCTCACAGTAACATGTCCCTGGTCTCACTGTAACATGTCCCTGGTCTCACTGTAACATGTCCCTGGTCTCACTGTAACATGTCCCTGGTCTCACAGTAACATGTCCCTGGTCTCACAGTAACATGTCCCTAGTCTCACTGTAATATGTCCCTGGTCTCACAGTAACTACATGTCCCTGGTCTCACAGTAACAACATGTCCCTGGTCTCACAGTAACATCATGTCCCTGGTCTCACAGTAACTACATGTCTCTGGTCTCACTGTAACATGTCCCTGGTCTCACAGTAACTACATGTCCCTGGTCTCACAGTAACAACATGTCCCTGGTCTCACAGTAACAACATGTCCCTGGTCTCACTGTAACATATCCCTGGTCTCACAGTAACTACATGTCCCTGGTCTCACAGTAACATGTCCCTGGTCTCACTGTAACATGTCCCTGGTCTCACTGTAACATGTCCCTGGTCTCACTGTAACATGTCCCTGGTCTCACAGTAACATGTCCCTGGTCTCACAGTAACAACATGTCCCTGGTCTCACAGTAACTACATGTCCCTGGTCTCACAGTAACTACATGTCCCTGGTCTCACAGTAACTACATGTTCCTGGTCTCACTGTAACATGTCCCTGGTCTCACTGTAACATGTCCCTGGTCTCACAGTAACTACATGTGTTGGGCTTCAGTCTGGCTACAGGTGAACATGTGTTGTACTATGACACGTTTCAGATTCCAACATTATGAAGAAAACAGGACGGATTTTGATATCAACTGATCTGGGTTATGAATATGGCTTTGTAGATATTGATGGTAAGTATTTCAAAGTATTCCATTTTTCAAATATTCTTCTGACCTCAATGCATGAGTCTTCATCATGTGTGTGTTAGTTGTATACCTGAGATGTGTGTCTGTTGTATAACCTGAGATGTGTGTGTTAGGTGTATACCTGACATGTGTGTCTGTTGTATACCTGAGATGTGTGTCTGTTGTATACCTGAGATGTGTGTCTGTTGTATACCTGAGATGTGTGTCTGTTGTATACCTGAGATGTGTTTGTTAGTTGTATACCTGAGATGTGTGTGTTAGGTGTATACCTGACATGTGTGTCTGTTGTATACCTGAGATGTGTGTCTGTTGTATACCTGAGATGTGTGTGTTAGTTGTATACCTGAGATGTGTTTGTTAGTTGTATACCTGACATGTGTGTCTGTTGTATACCTGAGATGTGTGTCTGTTGTATACCTGAGATGTGTTTGTTAGTTGTATACCTGAGATGTGTGTGTTAGTTGTATACCTGAGATGTGTGTCTGTTGTATACCCGAGATGTGTGTGTTAGTTGTATACCTGAGATGTGTGTGTTAGTTGTATACCTGAGATGTGTGTGTTAGTTGTATACCTGAGATGTGTGTCTGTTGTATACCCGAGATGTGTGTGTTAGTTGTATACCCGAGATGTGTCTGTTGTATACCCGAGATGTGTGTCTGTTGTATACCTGAGATGTGTGTCTGTTGTATACCTGAGATGTGTGTCTGTTGTATACCTGAGATGTGTGTCTGTTGTATACCTGAGATGTGTGTCTGTTGTATACCTGAGATGTGTGTCTGTTGTATACCTGAGATGTGTGTCTGTTGTATACCTGAGATGTGTGTCTGTTGTATACCTGAGATGTGTGTGTTAGTTGTATACCTGAGATGTGTGTCTGTTGTATACCTGAGATGTGTGTCAGCTGATTGCCTGAGATGTATGTCTGTTGTATACCTGAGATGTGTGTGTCAGCAGTATACCTCAGATGTGTGTCAACTGTATAATTGTGTTGAGATCTGAAGGTAATGTTATTTGCTTGTCAACAGGCAAGACCCCACCGAATCCTCGACAGATCAAATTCTTGGTGGCCTACTCAGGAGCATCCTGGTTGGCAGGCATCATTCCTGGGTTTCTGAAGATCCCTCTGTGGGTGCTTGCCCTGATGGGCAATAAGTTCTAGACATGACCAGCAGTGATTGTTTTATTGTGTTTAATCTTCAAAATGTTCACATACAAGTAACAACTGGGATACTTGTAAGCAAGTTTGTTGTGTACATGAAATAACTGTTAAAATGCAGAAAACAGCTGTACATCTGTATCATTAACTAAACCAACAGGTTGTTCAAAACAAGGCCTCTATCAGGGACCAATGGCTCTGCCAGTATGATTCTAACATGCTGGAGGGTTTATGTTACTCAGTGGTAATTACTGGTACATTAAAAGGTTTTTTTTATACTACCATTATTTTGTTGTTTCCCTAGTATGTGGTATGTTTTCATATACAGTGTTGTTCATATTTAATAAGTAACTACCTTAAAGGGGCACTGATCTAACGCAATTCCCCGGGACTGGTTGTTGCCTTTGTTATTGTTTTTTCCCAGTGAGTACCCGGATGTATAGCAGAAATCTAGACTAGTTCGCGACCTCTGCTGCGCCATTCGTAAGCGCATTAGTCACTTTTATGGGTAGTAATAAGGGCGTATGGTCACATTGATCAACAAAATGAAATACAGTTTTCGAGATAATAAGGAAATGTAGGTATCTTTGTGGGTAGCATCGGTAATGGTGACGAAGTTTTGATAAGTCACTTGCTTGGTAATTTTGCGATTTTCGTTTACACTATTTTGACTTGCATCACAAAGTAAATATTTCACCTGAGCATTGCTTTTTTTATAGTGTGTATATTTTTTTACTGTCAAATGGGTAACAAATTTATTAAACGTCTAAATATTCAGTTATTTTACAAAGTGACTGAAAAACATTTCCATCTGTATTATTATGATAACGAATTCCAAACATTTTGATGTGTAATGTCATCACCAAGAGACTGAAAATGTTACGTTGAAAAGTACATTTCTATGTTGTTTGGCTTCTAATCCTACATAATAATCTGTTGTGATGTTTGTAGGCCCTTTTGATCGTCTTAATCAATCTGGGCAGATTTTTTAGTCAAAATGACTGAAATATTTACACATTTTATAAATTGCCTGAGAGAATCACATTTTACAAATTGACGGTAATATATACACGCTTACAAAGGAAAAGACCTGTGAAAACAACGTCTATCGCGCATTGAAGAATTTCCCAACCAAGACGTAGAGAAACAAGAACGAATCCGTTCAAATGAAGGAAAACAAAATGCAAATTTCATAACTACAACCTACCAAATTTATGTGTATAAATTTTAGGTAGCTTCCTTGTTCGAGGAATGTATCCGTGAATATCCACACAAAGCAACAATATCCCACTCATCTGCAGCTGTACAAAGAAACTTATTCGATGTCACGTGTCTCAGTAACAATCAAATATTTTAAAAGATATCTACCGTTTCGGGATATTATAAGCCGTGTTCGTTTCTCAACTGATCACTTGGATTGTTTCAGGTGTTTTACATAGGTGTCAAGTCTCAATGGTCGGCTGAGAAAGCCCACGTGACAACTATTTTCATAACGTCCACGGTTCCTAAAAAATCCATTGAGTGATGGATAACAATGATCAATCAATCAACGTATTAACAGTTAACCCTTTGAACAAAGTATGTTGTTTTTACATCGGCACTTCACACCATGATATGAGTGTATTCCCTTTGTTTTAGTAAACCTAGACATGTAAACAATCTCTCTTGACATATCCACTGTACAAGATAACAGTGATTAATCAATCAACATATTTTCTGTTATTCCTTTGATGACTAGGAACGATCCGTTGATTTACAAAAAACGTAAATCAACTGATCATTCATCTCTTGCTGGGCTGCCACGTGCATATTACATAACACACATTTCACCTCACTTCAAACCTGGATTTAGATTGAATAATTACCCCAGACACAATAAATGCCAAATGGGAACCCTTTGTCAGGTAATCTAAGTGGCGCTACCACTAATTGTACCTGTAATAAATTCATTAACTGAGCATCAAGTGAATGACGACAAATACACAAATGTAGGGTTATACCAGAAAACGTGGATGACAACAAGGGAGTAGTAATCGTATAATCGCCGCAAGCCGAAATCCGAAAATGCTTTCACTGCATGGATACTTTTTTTAGTATTAAACTATAACCATCTGGGGTATTTCCAAATGACGACATCCGATGAGCTCCGCTGTTCTTTTTGTCTGTTTGTTTAGGCTGAAGAAATTAATTAACATGCGCCCTTTGTCGAAATCTTTATAGATCACAGTTAACCAATCAGTGTTTATGCAAAAATGCGTAAAACAAATATTGCCTCCGGCCTCCAAGTTTATTTAACTGTCCTTGCAGACGGTAGCCCAGTCTCTGGTCACGCTCAGTTGCGTTGCGTATCATCCGGGTACACACGGGGGAAAAAACAATAACAAAGGCAACAACCAGTCCGGGGAATTGCGTTAGATCAGTGCCCCTTTAAATCCTTTTCTTGAAAGATTTCTCGGTAATTTGTTCTAAGCCTCAGTTACATTTGTGATAAAATCGGTTATGGATCAATTCCACAAAGAGATTCTTAGAATTCCATCCCACATATTGACAAATTTGGCTGCTAATGTCTATGCTTCTGCACAACAATGTGTTAGGTGCAGGCAGATGACTACTTATACATACTGGTAATATGAGCGCCATGCAACCATCTGTTGAAACCCTGCAACAGACGGGTGTCACCCTAACATCCAGGCGGCCTATTCACGAAGCTGTCTTAGCTAAGACAAATCTTTGCTACTTACAATACAAATAACGACTGCCATAAGAGCTATTAGAACACAATGTCAGGTCCCAAATGTCATGTGTTTCATATGCCTTGTATAAACATAGGCTCCAATATCAAGTTCATTTTTTTCCGTTATTAATAACCATGATGACTCTCTGAAAATAATCTGTTTTCATCATCGTGAATCAACAAGCTGCTTCAGTCAGGATGGAAGGGAGGCTACTGGAACTACATCAAACCAGACGCCTGACGAGTTGTCTGTTAGTGTGGTGAATTATTAGGAGATAAATATACTGTGTTTCAGTGCTGAACCTGGTTACTTGAAGGTTTACCATCCACGCTACACACTCTCTGTTGTCCCTAAAATGTCAAATACACTCAGGCTAGTGTTTTTCTATCATGTTTTCTGCCCGTGCATGTTTTGTTGCCACATATACTTTGTATATTGTAGTTACTTCATTACTCTGTAGTGATTATGCATTCTGTAATCTGTAAGCGTACATATCATTATTACAATATACCTACCAACAATAATGGAGAAGTACTTTTCGGTAAATAATAGTTTCTGTGGCTGTTTGAACCAGAGGTGGTTATTGTAATTTGAAACCTCTGATTGACTGATCAGAAATGATCAGAATTTTCCAAATTCATGGTAGAATTCTGATTAATCTTCAATTTTCAACAAAAATTGGAACCCTCTCAGGAATGACTGCAAGAGTATTGTTCTCATCAAATGTGATGTGTTGATGTAAGGGCAAATACAATGCAAGTATACACACAATTCTCAGTGCTATGACTATCACTGTATGCATGTATTTCTGAATACATTTACTTGTGTTTTTTCCCCAAGAGATACTTTCCTTAACACTTCTTACAACCTACTCAGGATCACCATGCCGTATATATAGGAATGTCCCAAATGATGGCAATGCAATATCACATTACTATTCTATTGCTGTGATGTAGACTATGGGTTGTTATCACTGTCAGAAGGGCCACTAGTTATTCCTAGCATATTGGTCTTATACCCATCAGGTTGTGGCAAATGCTTATTACGAAACTTCCCTGAACTAGTTCCCCTGTGTTGAGGATATCCAGCTCTTTCTGTGCATGGATACCTTAACCTGGACAAAGATTGGTAACTAGTAGAAAACAGTTGTGCATGGATACCTAACCTGGACAAAGATTGGTAACTAGTAGAAAACAGTTGTGCATGGATACCTAACCTGGACAAAGATTGGTAACTAGTAGAAAACAGTTGTGCATGGATACCTAACCTGGACAAAGATTGGTAACTAGTAGAAAACAGTTGTGAATGGCTGAAAAAATTAAGTGATTAAAGATATTTTTATAAACTTTGTATCTGTTGTGTATATTGTTGTGACATATTTATCATATTCATCGGAAATCTTTCAGGTGTTCTTATCCATTCAATTTATCCTGAATTGCCACCATTTTGTTCAAATTATCTTAAACACGTCTGCTTCCATATACATGTATCCCTATCTGACATATTTTGGAGCCTTACTTTTTTTATCCCCTAACCAACACGTGATCACGCACTAATGACAAAATCAAGCTAGACACTTCAAAGCCCACTGAAGTCAGCAAAGAGTTTGCCACGTGCCGCTGAAGTTATGTTACGAATTAAGCTACACAAGATAAAATTTATAATAAGTCATGAAAACATACCTCAAAACTTACTTTTTCACTAATGCATATTTTAATCAAACTTGATCTGATGATAACTTTGCATCAGAACAATCGTATGCACTGATGATGTATCAGTTCCTGTTTGTAAACTTCCTGTCCACCAATGCTGGTGCTGTGTTGCCCACTGAAGACGGTCCCGGCAATGACGTGGTGTCAGAATGGGTCCTCGGTGTGGCCTGTGACAGTGGAGGTGTCTGCTCGACAATCGTCAACGCACGGTGTCCTCACTAATGTGTTGCTGGTGTGCCCCCATAGTCTGTCGAGCAGTTTCTGCAGCAGTAACAAAGCGATCTTGAAGACACTGTCGGGTGGTGACCTGCTTGTCATCTGCTTTGTTTTTATCATCAAATTTCATTTTTTCCGGACAAGGTAATGTTAAATTTTAGAAACTTTGACAAAAATACTCAGATATTTAAATGACAACTTTTCATGCAATGTTACTTGAGGTGACGTTTCTTTTGCAGTTCAGTATATTATCCTGGATATGCATTTTCAGGTTATCTTAAAGTTCCACCCACCATTTGAATTATCTTGAAGTTGCCGTCACTTGCCTGCGTGTTATAAACAGGCTGCCATGATATATTAGATATTGCTGCCGACTGTATAAAACAACATTCACTCACCCATCAGGATCCCAAGTCGTTAGTTTATGAAAGACAAGAAACTTGTTGATTTCAGCTTTATTAGTCATATTTTCTACAGCAAGTTATTGCGGCTGGCAGCTCGCGGTGTGAATCTCCATGTAACAAGGCAAGTCACAGCTTGCACAACGTCAACAGTAGCAACGGTAACTGTACACAACTAGACAACTAGCAACATTCTCAGTGTACTACTGCCTGCAGCATG